CTGCTTCATAACTAAGGTTTTAACAGTTCATGAAATTATTCAAAAACAGAAATTTCATTGATTTAAACACATTTTAATAAGCTTTTATTCGACTATTCTGAAAATCTTTGTTTCACTACAATTATTTGACATTTGTCAAATATATTGATAAGAAAATGTTGTTAAGATATTATTAAAACTTTAAATTTAGAGTTGTGAAGGCTGTGAATATCGTGCCTAAGTTAAAGTTATATCAATAAATCTTTTTTAACTTGAAACATTATTAAAAACACCAATAAGAATAAAGAAAGGTTTGTGTCTGCCAAACTCTAATCTCAAAGGACGCTACATACTTCCCTTGATTTATGTTGATACTATGATGGAAAATTGCAGCTATGTAACCAAATCAAATGTCTGATGCCAACTTAAAATGTCAAAATAACTCAACTATCATTATTTTGTTGCGAAATAACCGCAACTTTATCTCCCTAGAAATTTCATTAGACTGTCTGTAATTGACTTAGTAAAAAAAAACATTTTCCTCGAATATTAAATCAAATATTAATTTTCGTTTGAACTGAATGGGTCACCATCGAATTGTCAATTTCAATTTACTGTCTAAATATAACTTCTCGTCTGCCTAAAGTAAATCTAAGCAAATGCCTATTTTTCTTTATTATCTATCATCGGAAAAAAGATACGAAATTTAAGCCATGCTATGAGATCACTTCTACATGATGTCAAAGTACTAGTAAAAGAGCTATTGCATATTTGCACACACAATTATAACTCCTGGAAATTTTCATTATATTTGACTGTAGGCTACAGACCTGCTACGTCACAGCATTTTCTAGGCAAAATTTGAAATTTGTATTATACATAGATTTATTTTTTGGTAAAAGCATAAACAGTTTCACATAATGTTATAAGTGTTTGATGAATATATTATTCTAATATTTCTTGTTATATTTGTTACGGGATTAATCATTTGAGAAACATACAGAAATCTCAAGCACTCAGAAACAGAGACAGTCACTACTTAGACTTAAAAGTATATTTGAAGTGTGTTTTGAATGTTTACAAGCAGAGACAATTCAAACATCCTTGCAAAAACATTCATATTTTAGTTGCATTAGAGGAGTAACACAAACATAACAATAATTGTAACAATGTTATCTTTGATACGGCAAAACTGATTTAGATGTTTCTTAATAATAATATTTACATTTGACATAAAAATATTCCTTCCTCACAGATCAAATAAGAACAAACTTATACAGACAATAAGTTATTGCGACATAAGCTGTCGTTTTACACAGGAAACATTATATCAGCTGAGTGCATTCTGGCAATGTCAATAAAAGCCTTCTGTATTAAGCTATAAAATCAATATAACAACAAAGCATAGTTAGATTAATGACACAATCAGTATTATCTTTATCAATGTCTCACTTTTAGATAAAAACCTTTCAAGTGAAGATGTATAACTTGAGATACCAAATTAACCTAAAAGCTTTACTGGAACAAAGTGCTATCATGAACATTACATAAGGTGTTTTATTGCTTATTCTTTTATTTCTGTTACTATATGCCGAGTAAAGCGATGTTTATGTCTTAAATAATTTTTTTACGACGCCATTCGCCAAAGTGCTCTCAAGTTGTCAAATGACGTTTGAGAAAATAAGAGTTTTTCGAAGCCAAAATGTAGAAATAATGTTTGAATTTTTCACATTCAAAACAAAATTTAGGATTTTACTGAAAACTTAGAAACTTTCAAACTTTCCGGACCAGAAATTTATGGAAATGACATTTTATTATACAGATGATTTATAAAAAAAATCTTACTTGTCCTCTAAGCAACTATATAATGTTTTTATATACTATTCCATCATAATTACTTTTTGTAATGAACATTAATAATAAACTTTTAAAATAGCAATACCTGCGTATCGAGCAAATTCATATTTAAAATAATTCTTACAGTTGCATTCTTAATGGCAATCTTGTGTGTAAACGATTCTTTTGCTTAAATATTTTTTTTTGTAATTTTGATAAGATATATATGAAGGATTTAAGCAATATAGGAATTATTTAAAAATAAAGGAAAAGTATTAATGTCACTTTCAATTTCACATTATGTACACCTCTATGAATGGAAAAATATTACGTAAAATTGTCATGAACTGTCAAATATTCACATACGCTTGTTCATAGCGACTGAATTCAGAGTTAAATTAAAATAATGAAAATGAATAAATAGATAGCCCTTGCCTAAACCACCCTGTAAGAAAAACAACTACATGTACAACAAAAGTATTGGTTGAAAACCGGTCAGTTTTTTAAAATTAAATTATATTACCAAATAGAAACCACTAGCAAGGTTATTTAACTTTTGACCAATCCACGATATACCATGTAATATAGCTAACTCGTTTTGACATCAGCGCATCTATTAAAGGAACTCCACTGATGTCCGAAAGTTTAATGATATAAAAATTCTTTTGCATAAATCAACCAGAGAACTTCAGAAAATATGCAAAAGATAATTAAGAAATATACCCAGAAATAAATTGATCATCGTATTTTTGCGTTATCCTAAGGCCGATTTGAGTCAAAAGCGTTGCAACGCTTTTCGTTTTCCGATCATTTTTCACAATTACACAATTATAATCGTTATTCTGGAAAAATGGAGCGCGCTTATGGTCCCATATTTTGCACATAAGCTATTGGTCAAGACCTACATCAAATGGAATATCAACCTTGTAGAATTATTTTCAGTTCTATCTTTGTCAAAAACGTTAGTGATGTCCTTTTAAAGTCTGGGAAAAGGGAGACCTGGAGATAGCAATGAGGGCAGCGGTAAAAGGTGAAAATTTCACACTTGGGCAGATTGAGATTGGGTCTGTTGAAATGTGCAACATCCCTCATCACCAATTATATTCCTTGTATAAAATAAGTAAAATAAAGGGTATAGACAGGGTGGTAAGAAACTAAAAACTAACAAAGAATGGTCATTTGGAGTAATATTTTTATTATTGTTATAGAACAGGTAGGCTTTCACAATGTAGACTGAAACTATAGAATGTTATATATTGTTACCAACTAAGCATTTTTCATTACAACACTAGTTACATAATAAAATGTTTATATAAAATAGCATTTTTGGTAAGAATCCATACATCTATGAATGTGCACATATTTACCATATTTAACCAACAATCCTAATTTCATTTGATCAATTATATATTTTACGTTCATACAGCTAACAGATCACAATAATATCAAATCACAATACAGATCTGATTAAAATATACAATAAACTTAACAATTACATAACAAAAAAAATAAATACATTCAATAATATTCTTTAAATCACTTCATTGATTATAATCTATATTTTCCATGTTTCAAGTCACAACATCTTTGCAATATAGTTATATGAGGACTTTTCAACTTTATCAGTGGCTGCAAACCATGCTGTTAAAACGATGATGCTTTCAAAAAGACATTCAAGTTAATGTTTCTTTAAATGAGACTGGCTGTTAGTTATAAAATCAATTCATTACAATAATGTGTAGATTTTAAGCATTGTTATATTTAAATAAAGATATGGTTAAAAGTCATACTTTTTGAAATTATGAAAAAAAAAAAAAACTCTAATAAGTTTAATGTCATCAAATGTTGCTTTGTGGAGTTTAGTGTCAGCAAATGCTATTCTGTGGAGTTTAATGTAAAAAAAAAGTTGCTGTGTGGAGTTTCGTACCATCACATGTTGCTGTAAGAGTTTAGTATCAGCAAATTTTTAATACTGCTATGGAGTTTAGTGTCAGCAAAAGTTAAACCAATAAATAGGTCTACTGGCCTCAATATTGATATTAGCATATGGTATTTTAATGAACATAATTAAGCCGCATCACGACAAAACCAACATAATGGGTTTGCGACCAGCATGGATCCAGACCAGCCTGCGCATCCGTGCAGTCTGATCAGGATCCATGCTGTTCGCTTACCAACTGTTTTACAAGTAAAGAAACTGATAGTGAACAGCATTGATCCTGATCAGACTGCGCGGATGCGCAGGCTGGTCTGGATCCATGCTGGTCAGAAACCCATTATGTTGGTTTTGTCATGATGTGGCTCATATAATTGTTGTGCTCTCATCTTTTTAACTGAAAGTGCTAAAATTATTAAGCATGAATTTCAGATCACAAAAACGTTCATGTCATCTTTAACAAAATACCCTGGTTAATTTAATGTCAGCAAAAATTAATGTTGACCTGTAGAGATAAAAGCTTCTGCATACATAATCATTACCTTGTGATATACCAGGCAGTACAAATGAATAAATAGTTACAATTATCATTCTGTCTTGAGATAACATCACATTAAGCTGACCATGCTAAAACATCCACAATTCAATTATGTATATCGGTAAAAGAACATTTCAGGGAATTTGTTTCATAACTAACTAATAGGCCTTACATTATTTCCAGCAAACACGTGACTTCTTAAAAACTTTGTTCCCTGTAAAAATAATACTTGTATTTTCATCCTGCCACAGTCTTTTATGAACAAAACCAAAGGTAGATTATTTTGTGATCAAATAAATATGTAGACAGTAACATATATAACAGTAAATAATAAATAAATTAGCAAACAAAATAAATAAACAATCCAATAAATATCATAGTACTATTAAAAGTAAGGCCATTACATGCTTACATATTTAAAATAGGTAAACAAAATTAACTTAACTTTTAAAAAAAAACTTTAACAAAAACAAATTAAAGAAATTTAAACAGTACATCATATAATTTCACTGACTTTACTACACACTTGGATAGAAATTAACAAAAAGAAATTATAATATCTCCAAGCTTTTAACTGTTTGCCAAACATACCCGGTATGTTTATTAAACCATGCAATGTTAAACGTGGAACTACCAAGTCTTTCCCATTAGTATAGCACCAAACCACTTTGTACATCTGTATAGTCAGACAGCCACTAATGACTGACCAACTGCCAAATGTTCAATTGTAATACCCCTTAAATTAATAAGTAGAATTTGGACAAGTATATTCCGAAAATTCAGCAGTAGAAGGACAAAGCAATGATAACGACATGGTACAGGAAAATATTTTTTACAGCGCATCAATACAGAATAGGAGATATGGCGCCGAAACAGGAAAGATAATTTTGGCTAACTGGGTGTTACAAACTTCAAAACAACACCAAGGGTCAAAACCATCTCACTTGCTGGTGCTTAGAAATGTATGACTCATTTAGCCGTCGTCTCATGAAGGGATAAAGGGTAGATGCAATTATAATGCCTCAAACATTCACAGCAACCCCTCTGCCACAATGGGCGGTAAAATATTCAAACAAAAAAAAATCCAAGTAAAAATGATTTTATACCATTCAAAATCTAAAAATGAAAATGGACTAACAATAAAATATTTAACAAGTAAGCACAAGAAAAATTTCAGTGAAAAGAACAGATATCTAGTATTTCTTCAATTAGAATTCATTAGAAGCACTTTGTGGTGTATTTGAGTAGAAATAAAAGATTAGCACTAAATATGAGCCGTGTCATGACAAAACCAACATAGTGGGTTTGCGACTAGCATGGATCCAGACCAGCCTACGCATCCACGCAGTCTGATCAGGATCCATGCTGTTCGCTTACAAACCTTATAACAAGTAGAGCAACTAGCTGATAGCGAATAGCATGGATCCTGATCAGACTGCGCAGATGCGCAGGCTGGTCTTGATCCATGCTGGTAGCAAACCCACTATGTTGGTTTTGTCATGACGGGGCTCAAATATAAATAACACAACACATGGTTTCAACAACAAAACAACATTCGAAAAAAATACATGAACTTCCTTTTAATCAACAAACAAAAATTTTACTTAACAAAAACAATTAAAATATTTGAAGATAAAATCATTTTGCTGAATTCTAAGACACACAAAAACAACAAAAAGAAACAGATCTGATGTATAGCCATGCAAAAAGTACACACAAAATGAAAAGGAAAATGATTTCAATTAAACTTTTCATAGAAAAGAACTAGGTGAAAACAAAACATTCATAAAGTTCTTTTGATGTGTTTGAAGTCATACCAGAAATTAAAGTGAAATAAAAAAACAACTTGCTCTGTTTACAGAGAAATTAGTTTACATGGCGTTCTGCTTAATTAAGACCAAAGGTGTTCCAATTTACTTGATTCTTGCAGGAATATATAGAATAGAAACTATGTTATCCAAAAACACCATAATCCGGAATCCATTCCAAATTGGACTTTTTCAAAGTCTAAAATTGTCAGTTATGTTACATAAAACTCTGTATATTCTCGAAAAAAGATGAAAATTATTGACATTTTTACATTTTTCAAATTTAATTTCACTCTCCAAAAGGGTTCCATATTATAGACTATCTACAGTACCTAATGGCAACCCTTGCCAAAATGTAGTCAGATATCACTGTATTGTTTTTAAGTAGACTTTGCCATATCTAAGTACAATTAATGTTTTGAAATAAGATACGTGTATATTCTTTAAGTGTTGGTTGTTTAAAAGAAGACATACTTTATCTACATGAAAAAGAACATAAACAAAATCCTACTAAAATCTGTTAATTCCTAAAACTTATTCCTATGGATATAATTTGTAGTAAATAAGTATCTCTACAAATTAAAAAATCCGGACAGTTATATTATCTGTCACCAAATTTATTCATTTATGAAAATGATTTTAAAGTTGTTTTTAAAGATTTTTTAGACAAGTTGAAGGAGTGTCCAAGGAAGGATGTCCTAAAATCTAACAAATTAAATATCAGGGACAATAAAATTAACCATTTCTCTCTTTTTCTATACTCCTGCAGTGTAAGAAATTATTGTTTCCACCTTTCTAGTATCCACTGGAAGTCTTATTTACATACAAAGTTTAGAACTTGTGCACTAATGTTCCTACTGCAGGTCAACTTTCTAGCTTTTCTGAAAAGATAAGAGAAAAAAATTGAAATGACATACAAAGATACAACCTTAATATTAGCAATGATATAATCATTCTCAGGGGATAATTAACAGTGATATATTTCACTGGTGGGGGTTAATACACAATGCTATATTTAATTGGTGGGGGATGATTAGCAATGTTATATTTCATTGGCAGTGCATAATAAACAAGCAATTATCATAGTATTGCAAGCAATCCATAAGTCCCCTACCGGTTAGAACCCCAGCAACATTCTGATGGGCCATTGGCCATTCAATTTTACCAGTGAATGAATGACATGAATGAACTTAAATCTTTTGAGTTCTAAGTTTGTCTATATCACAGTGATGTGTTAAGTTTCCCTGCCTAGTAAGGAAATTATGTTTATACAACCTTGTCATATTATTACGATGTGGGATTTTAAAGTAAATCCTATAAGGAATGAAGAAGTTGGAGTGAAAAATACCAATTTCTCGAAAAAAATCTAAGTTCAAGGGGGACATAATTCTGGAAATAGTCTTGCTAGAGTATTTAACCTTCTCAAAAATGTTGAGTGATAATAAGAAACATATATATGAAGTTTGAAGAAAAATCTAAGTTCCAGGGGGACATAATTCTGGAAATAGTCTTGCTAGAGTATTTAACCTTCTCAAAAATGTTGAGTGATAATAAGAAACATATATATGAAGCTTGAAGTAGATACATTAGGAAATAAAGAAGTAATTCAAAAAAGACCATTTTTTTTTCATAAAAATTCTAAGTTCAAGGGAGGTAATACTGATAATTTTTGTGCTAGAGTTGTAAACCTTGTCACTTATGATGTGGTTGATGACCAGAAACTTATATTTAAATATTGATGTAAACACCATAAGAAATAAAGAACTTATAGTGAAAAAGCTGAAAAAATTAAATCAGAAATCTTGAAATTCAGACTATTTGTTGCCATAGCAACCAGAATTTTCAACATAGGAAGAAAAGAAAAAGATGTGCATAATCTCCAGACTGCAATCTACCCATATTTCAAGTTTCATAAAAATATTTTCAGTACTTTTTGAGTTATCACTGGATCCAGTTTATGTGTTAAATTTGCCATATTTTCAGACTATTTGTTGCCATAGCAACCAGAATTTTCAACATAGGAAGAAAAAAAAGACGTGCATAATCTCCATACTGCCATCTACCCATATTTTAAGTTTCATAAAAATATTTTCAGTACTTTTTGAGTTATCACTGGATCCAGTTTATGTGTTAAATTTGCCATATTTTCAGACTATTTGTTGCCATAGCAACCAAAATTTTCAACATAGGAAGAAAAAAAAAAGACGTGCATAATCTCCATAATGCCATCTATCCATATATCAAGTTTCATAAAAATATTTTCAGTACTTTTTGCGCTATCGTGGGATCCAGTTTTGTGGATGGACGGACTGACTGATGGACTGACAGACAGACAGACAGACAGACGGACAGACAGACAGACAGACGGACGGAGGGTAAACCTAAAGTCCCCTCCGGTTAAACCGGTAGGGGACTAACAATGCTATATTTCATTGGTGGGGGAAGATCAGCAATGCTACATTTCATTGGTGGGGGATAAGAGACAATGCTATTTTCTATTGGTGGGGATAATTAGCAATGTTATATTTCTTTGGCAGGGAATTAATAGAAATGCTATCATATTTCGTTGGTGGGGGATAATAAGCAATGGTATATTTCATTGGTGGGGGATGATAAACAATGCTAAATTTCATTGGCACTGGATAATACACAATCCTATATTTCATTGGCAGGGGATCATTAGCAATGCTATATTTCATTGGCATGGCATAATTAGCAATGCTATATTTAATTGGCAGGGGACAATTAGCAATGCTATATTTAATTGGCAGGGGATAATTGGCAATGCTATATTTCATTGGCGGGGGACAATTAGCAATGCTATATTTCATTGGCAGGGGATAATCAGCAATGCTTTATTTCATTGGCGGGGGACAATTAGCAATGCTATATTTCATTGGCACAAGATAATTAGCAATGCTATATGTCATTGACAGGGGATAATTAGCAATGCTATATTTCATTTGTGAAGGAACAATTAGCTATGCTATATATCACTGGGGTAGAATGATTATCAACTTATTTTGATCACTTTTCTTACAAATATTAAAAACAATTATGTCAAATATTCAATACATGAAAAAATCATTATAAGAAACAAAACTATCTGGGCTAACATCATAAAACAGGTATCCTTTCATTTTGATGTTCCACATGTATGATATACTATAATATGAAAACTTTCTGTATAACTTACCAATTACATTAAGTTTACATAAAGGACATGTATGACTTCTAACTAACCATGGATCAACACATTTGGTATGGAAGTAATGCCCACATGGTAGCACCCGTAATTTCTGAAATAAGTAAATTTTCCTCACTATAACACAATGGATAGAATTCAATGAATGTAAATAAATAAAAGAAATCCACAAGATGACTTAGCTTTTTTGTATTTCTTACATTAAAAATGTTAAACAAACTCAAGATAAAAAGGGAAAAAAACAATGCATCATCAACATACAATTAAAAACTACTTTCTATAATGTAACCATTGACATATAACAGAGAAATATATTCTCCAAAGAAAACTGGCCATGAATAAACAAAAGTGCAGCATGACATTATCTGGAAATGTATCAAAATCATAAAGCAGTTCATATTTTAGAAAAATTCAACAGAATCATGAAAGTACCAGACTTGAGAAAAAAAATCAAAAATGTATCAGAATCATTGAGTAGTACCAGTTATAGGAAGAAAATTTCAAAAATGTATCAGAAACAAGAAGCAGTACCAGTTTTAGAAAAATGTATCAGAATGTTTCAGAATTATGAAGCAGTGTCAGTTTTAGAAAGAAAACTTCCAAAATGTATCAGAATCATGAAGCAGTACCCGTTTTAGTAAGAATTCTTAAAAAATGTATCAGAATCATGAAGCAGTATCAGGTTTAGAAAGAAAACTACAAAAATTTATTAGAATCATGAAGCAGTACCTGTTTTAGGAAGAAAAATTCAAAAATGTTTCAGAATCATGAAGTTTTAGAAAGAAAACTACAAAAATGTATCAGAATCATGCAGCAGTACCTGTTTTAGGAAGAACTTTTCAAGACATATTGCACATGTATCATTTGTCCCATCTGGTGAGTATCTTTTTATTTTCATCACAGCTAATGCTTGGTATGCTATTTGACGGAGGGTTTCCTGTACACATACAAAAATAACAACCATAAATAGTGGGGTATGGGGGGGGAGCTTTTGAGTATTTCCTTTAAACCTTTATTAAAAATGAAAAATTGTCACTTTGCTACAATAGGAAGTTAGTTTTAGATGTTTCAGTTATAAAATATATGTTTAAAGAAATTCATATACTTGTATATGAAAACTTTAAAGAGACAAACATGGGAGATGGCAACAAAAGAACAAGTTCAGTTAAACCTCTATCACGTCTTACAACATAAAATAGTCATTCAAAATAGTTTTACAAACTTTGAAAGAGTTGAAAGAGACATATAAAATGGTTTTGTACCTATTTTGATACCAACTTATTATAAGTAAGTTATAAATCCAGAGTATTTTCTGAATAATTATTATTAATCCATAACCCTATGAATTTGCCCTGCTTTGGATCTGGGACAGTCCATAACAAGTTCATAAGGGATTTCAGTATCAAAATATCAATACTTAGCTACCAACAGTATAGAGCCTAGTCAGACTGCACTGTGGTACAGGATGGCCTGGCTCTATACTGGTAGCAAAGGCTAGTCATTTTCAGCTATAGTACAGCAGGCTAGGGGTAAATTAATGCCAGGTAAAAGATTTGAATCCGAGGAAAATGGAAGTACAATGTGAGAATAGGAGCCGCGTCACGACAAAACCAACGTAATGTGTTTGCGACCAGCATGGATCCAGACCAGCCTGCGCATCCGCGCAGTCTGATCAGGATCCATGCTGTTCTCTTACAAACACTATTACAAATAGAGAAACTGATAGCGAACAGCATGGATCCTGATTAGACTGCGCGAATGCGCAGGCTGGTCTGGATCCATGCTGGTCGCAAACCCATTACTTTCGTTTTGTCGTGACGCAGCTTATTTGTAATCAAACCGTATTTACATCTATATAATCAGGATCCTCCCAGTTCTGTCCTCTCCTTGTCCGTATATAATGCATCATCATCAGAAACAAGATTCCCGTGTAAAAATAGTTCCAAAAATTCTCCTGATCTACCTATACAGAAATGCACACAAAAAATATAATGAACTTACACAAGAGAAATTGGTTTCACAGAGAAAAAGATGGTAAACATTTTAGTTTAAACATTATTTATTCAAGCATGACTGTTAAGAAAGCTTGTAGCTGATTTAAAACCACTCTTTATTTCATTTTCTAGTACCAACCGGTGCTGGTTTCTTTAGAAAACAAGAGCTGTCAGAAGGACAGCGCGCTCGACTTTTTTAGTGCTTGCCTATAAAACAAAACTTTGACAGTTAAGGGCACACAAGACTTTAACTAGGAATTTCTAAGTACAAATCAAGAAACATTTTCACAGAGTTATCTTCTCTTGCTTACAGATAGGTCTCATGATGGCACATAAGAACTCCAACTTCCAAAGTAATATCTCAAATGGTTAGGTCAACAAGTGGACAAGAATGAAAATTTTAACTGAGTTTCTAAGTCAAAAAGGGCCATAATTCAAATAAAATCCTTAACAGAATTACCTTCTCCTGCCCATGTTTGGGACCATGATGGTAAACAAGTATTCCAACTTTCAATTTAATATCTCAACCAGTTCAGTCAAAAAGTTGACTGGTACAAAAAACTTAACCAAGATTCTAAGTCGATAAAAGGCCTTAATTTTTAAAACAAATCCCTGACAGAGTTACCTTCTCTTGCGTACAGATGGGGGTAATGATGTGAAATAGCATTAAAAGTTTCAAAGCAATATCTCAAAGGGTTAAGGCAATAAGTGGATTTTACCCATATTCAATGTATTTTCTAAGTCAAAAAGGGGCATAATTCTGTCAAAAACCTTGACAGAGTTATGTCCTCTTGTCTGTTGATGAAGGTCGTGATGGTAAACAAGTATGGTCAGTTTCAAAGCAATACCTCCAATGGTTTTGAAATAAAGTGAGGTGGTACAAAAAACTTAACCAAGCTCAATACACTTTCTAAGTCAAAAAAGGGCCATAATTCTGTCAAAAACCTTGACAGAGTTATGTACTCTTGTCTGTAGATGGAGGTTATGATGGTGAACAAGTATGGTAAGTTTCAAAGCCATACTTGTAATACTTCTGAAATAAAGTGGGGTGGTACGAAAAACTTAACCAAGGTGTGACGCCAACGCTAACGCCGACGCCGAGGCGAGTAGGATAGCTCCCCTTTTCATAGAAAAGTCGAGCTAAAAATGTTATGGGCTTGAACCCATGATTTCTTGGCTGAGAGAGCACCTAAACCACCTAACCATCCCTTCCCTCAAAGTGGTAAACATTTAAGCTTAAATATTTGTCCTCTGCTGAAACATATTGTTTTCCTACATTTTCAAGTACTTTCTCAATACACTTCGAATTTGAAGGAATATTTTCTTTTTTTCATTTTAATTTTTTTTTCTAAAACCAAAGTAAAATGTATAAAACTCCATAAGTACAAAATGTAACATTTGCTACAAAATTATAGTATGCGATGGAAATAATTTCACAATTTGATGTATATGAATTCTACTGAAATCAAACACTATTGCATCATGGTGACTTCCATGCATTGCTGTTGTAAACAGGCTACAAATGTATTTTTTATTTAAAGGCAATACTGTTTTTTGTATTATGTCATTTTCATCAATATTCTTTACACATATTTCCCTCTCATTGTGTTCGACTTTAACAATATTCTAAATTTCCTCTTTCCTTCTCAGATCTTACCTTTCCCTCCATATTTGTATTTTTATCTTCCCCTAAACACACAACACCATCCCACTCATGGTAGCTTCTCCCACTGTACCGCCCACAGGTACCCCATAAGGTTACTGTGGTAAAATAATCCTGAAAAGAAATTTCAATATTTTACCAAAGACATTGAATTTGCTTTATTGGATATATGGATAAATGGTTTTGTAGTCTTAATTTGTTTTTTTCAGATCCTATGAAATTCTGCTTTTAGTTTCTTATTATGAGTATGATTAATTACATATTTCTGAAGTGCTACAAGTCTAGATGCAAGCCTTCCAGCATATCTCCTTTACCATTTAATGAGATATATATGAAATTCTGACAACCACACTCCTGCATAAGATTTAGTTTTGGGTTGGGGGTTGGTTTTTCAACACACCAACACAGTGACAATAGTGTTTATTACATCAAACTTATTAAATATGTTAATTTAAATACTTTATCACAATCATGAAATTACATATGAGTTTAATGTTCAACATGTAATTCCCATTGTTTACTGAACCAAAAAAGAAACTTTCGCAAAGTATGTGCCAGTTGTTCAAGGGTACCAGTTAGATGTACACACTTATATACATGTAGTAGCTTATAAAACTTGTTCTGTTTGCAAAATCGGTCAGCTAATCCCCGTATAAAAGCCCGATATGTTTATTCAACGTAAAAATCGAGTTTCAAAAGGATTGAAAAACTGTACTAACATATCTACATTCAAACTTGGAGAAAGTTCCTTTTTTGTTTCAGTATATAATACTGTATAAGTGGAAAATTTTATGATATAGAAATATATTTGCAATTTTTGCGAATTGGAATTATTAGCAAATATTCGATCATGCAAAAAATATTTCTGTTAACTTTCTTCTATCATTTGAAAACACGCTTTACAGCATCTTTACTGTTCAGGTACTAAGATTAATTTTTCTGATTGCTTGTTTGTTTAAGTTTGGTCATAACAAATCACAAATGTTTTAATAAAACAATATATGTGTTAATAAACAAATGAATGTTTCAGAATATGACAAAGCAATGTGTGATCAGGTCCTTTATAAAACTAACAATGTGTATTTCAATCAATTATATAAATAATAAAGTACTGAACATTCTAATAGAACGATTACAATAATGGCATATCCTGCTTTATTAAAAAATATCAAAACTGATATCGCAAAATTTTTGTAACGCATAAATATCCACTAAAACAGTGTGCCTATTATAGAATAGTAAAATAGTAAAAATTGGTTAAGAAAATCTCTGTTCTTTTCATTTTTAAGGATTTTTATAGTTTTTGTGTGAATGAGTGCTTTATTAAAGACATGTACAACATTAATGCAGATCTATCAAAATGTTCACTACACTCTGACCTTTGAAATTTTGACACTACATCGTTTAGTAAGCTTTAAGTAAATCATGCTAAAAAGTCAGGCCATTGTTACCTCCAAATAAATAATAACTAGATACCAATAAATGGTAATGAAATGGAAATCTTATAGCAGTAAAACACAGTTTTGACCAATCTCTTTCAACATAGCTGTACATCACAGTCTTTCACAATATTCTACAGGAGAGCAATATAGATTTACAAAGGACGTGACAATTTGTCTGTTGACCCTTGAATGTCTTTACTCAATATAATGATTAATAAGCTATCCTATGAAAGTTACGTGTATGTTGCATTTAGCATGAAAGAATCTAAAGACAAACAAACAAAAAAACAACAACCTAAAACATAAGCAAAACTTAGATTATATATACTCCCTTGTTGTAAAATATTAGGTACGTTAATATAAAACTTGCAGTTGATCTTACCTGACTATTCTGAATATCCTTTACTATGTTGTATAAAAATCTTGTTTTCAGTCTCATCTTGCTGAAAAAAAAGTAACAAGAGCAGTCAAGAAGGGCAGAATCCCCAAAACTGTTCTCAGTGCCGCATACACGTAGTAAAAACATTTCTAATGATTCCATATAAATCTGACTGCTGTCCAGTCTTACGTATTTGTGTAAATTATTAAACACCGTGTATAGTGTACAAACATGTTTGGATTTTACTTCACTCTACGTTTTCACATTATTTTAACTCGAACGCCTGGTGCCGCACATGGGGGACAGGTTTTTAGCCCACATTTTTATGGAGCACATTTCACATCACCACTCTTCACTGATGTCTGCACAGCGGATTTACAGACGAGCACAACTTAGAAGTAAAAGTAAATCAAAGCAAGACAATTAAGAAAATTGTTTACCTTGACAGCAAGTTTAGCATATTTGTGATATTTTCTGATATGTCAACTAATGCCACTGGCTTTGAAAACATCTGGCTTAAATCAATCTAAGTAAAGAAATGAGAATAATATGTTATTGTTGTACATTTATCAAAATATCACTATAAAATAACTAGGAATATGTCCATAAAACACTGATGCCTCAACACTATATGGTTTTGGCAGTCCATAGAGAAAAAGCATGACAGCATAAAAGAGTTTCATTCCAACTTGATTGATATAGATCTTCTAACAGTAAACATGCAGTGCTTCAAATGATAAAGCCTTAAACTGGTGTCACCATTATTTTAATGAATACATTCTGTACAGAAAGCTTTTAATTTACAAACAATATTTCTAATATTATCACTTACAATGTATTATGTAATTGAAAACTTGTCAAGAAGCATTTTCATTTGAATGATATTTCCTGATATATCATCAAAAATCAATAATAAATTCAATTAAATAAATAACCTTGTACTTTATGTTTCGTAATGATTTATAAAATCAAAATTTCAATAAATAATTGTAACACATTATTACAGTGTCTATCATTTCACTAAATTATTGGAACATACATTGTATGTCCCAACTGAAACATAAGTGGATTGATTGGTTAAAAGGGTAATCAATGAAACAACTTAAAAATTGATGTTTCATACCTCTTTGATGATTTTCGGGTTCAAAGTCAATATTATAATGGCTGAGGCCCCAAACATCAATGCTCTTTTCATCTGAAAAATATAAAATATGCCAATACTAGTTCAATAGTAAGGTTGATCCCTGATCAATTATCTCAAGCAGACAGGCATAAGGGTGTGAAACTTCATTGTTAACTACAGTGTTGCCTTAAACCAAGCCTCCATCCGCTCTGAGCAGTATAGGAGAAAGGAGTTTTCACCTTTAATTGATCTGTTCCCACAGTTTTCGAGGCAGATTGATAGCTTAATTTTGCATAAACATAGTGGAGAGGATGTCCACCTTTCAGTATGGGAACATTTTATGGGAGATTTAACCATCTTATAGATTTAACATATCTATTTCAGCTTGATTACGAAAAAAGTTCTTGCAACTTATATTAATCAGTTTCCAGTTTGATCAGTACAGGTGTCATATGAGGAATTATGATCATTACACTTGTAGGGCTCAGACCCATGTTTCCTTCTTGGGTCAAGAGGCAGATACCTTAACCACTAGGCCACCATTAATGACTGTGTATTATAAAGGTTGAAGGGGCAGCACGAAATACCCAAATACACCCAAATATACCCAAATATTGCCCAAATATACCCAAATATTGCCTAAATATACCCAAATATTGTCCAATTATACTAAAAATAAATGTTTTATACTAAAAAAGTGTCGTTTTAATCATGAATACAATATACACTTTCACTAAGGTATAATCAAACATACCCAAATATACATTTTCCTATCATTGTGTTTTGAACCAAGATACAGTATATGTACTCCATTAAAGCTATATTTTTTAATAACATGGACATTCTTCTTCTATATGATATGAAATTTCAACAAAATTACACCTTAAAAATGTAAGTGTAGACAACAAATATCATATCTTGAATTAAAATTGCATTCATAAAGAAGCGATATTGTAGATAAGCAAATGTCACAACTTTATTTTCTTACAACATCTTAACTGCCCCTTTCAACGGAATGAATGAAAGTTATAGCAGGCTAAGTCATATTATTTTATAAAGATTTATTTATTTCTCATTATAATCTATATTTTATACAAACAAAAATAAATATTGCTATATTTGGGCAATATTTGGGTATATTTGGGTGTATTTGGGTATATTTGGGTATTTCGTGCCGCCGGGTTGAAGCAATTACAGTAAAATGCTAGCTCAATATTATTTTCTTACCCTCTCCACAACACTGGGGCACTCCCCTACAGTTCCACCACCAGTACTGACTGCCAGCTTCTCTGTGTAATTCAAAACTGCTACCCAACCATCAGGTAATCGTGCAAAACTACCTTCATCCTCTGCACAGTTGGCAGGCAGCTGCAGAAAAAAAATAGCAACATGTTATGACTTATATGTAAATTGTAAACAAATTATGGACTCACAATTTATAGCTATTTCAGTGAAATGCACATTCCTTCTTCTTCCAATACTGTACATAACCCACTCTGGGGCATTGACGTACAGGGTGTATGTACAAAGTGTTGTGCGGCGAATAAGTGCAGATTTAAAAGAAGAACATGTTAAAAATAAAATCGACTCCGGCATATTAGGGCCCCATGACTAGTCCTCCCTTGAAGGCCTCAAGGTTGACTGCTGTGGCTAGGTGCTCTGGAAGCTGGTTCCACAGGCGGATGGCCGAAGGTACAAAGGAGAACTTCATGGTGTCTGTTCTGCAGAATGGGACATGGAATCTGTGTCCGTAGCCATGACCACCAAGTGTCAGGGGTGGAAGTACTGTGCAGCTGGGATGGCTATGAGGTTGTGCATGATCCTGTAGACCATCACTAGCTTGGCATTGGAGCGGCGGTGCTGTAGAGTTGGCCAGCCTAGGTCTGTCATCATTGCAGTGGTGCTGCTGGTAGTTTTGTAATCGCCTTTTACAAATCGGGCAGCTCGCCTTTGGACAGCTTCGAGCTGGTTGATGTTGGTGGCTGTGTGTGGGTCCCAGACTGTGCCTGCATACTCCAGGATTGGTCTAACAAGGGTCTTGTAGGCCTGGGCCTTGATGTCTTGTGGGCAGCTTATGATGTTTCTTCTAAGGAATGATAGAGAGTTATTGGCCTTCTTGATGGTAGATTCTGTGTGTATGTTCCATGAAAGATTATTTGCGATGTTGACACCAAGGTACTTTCCACTTTTGACAGATTGAAGAGTTGATTGGTGTACCTTGTAAGCATAAATGATGACATTTAAAAATAACTAGTATCCATGTTAACAAAGTTACTTACCAGATGCATTCTACCATCAACATTGTTTTCACGGCCGATATCGAGCATTTTCCCCCAAATTCTAGCATCAAATACGTTGACATCTTCAGTTCCGCTTGACTGGCTACCAGCTGTCAAACGTTTGAATGCTGTTTTCTCCGCCTTTGTAACTTCAATCAAAATTCTTTTTTCTGCTGAAGCTAACTGAGGTACAAATGCAACGAAAACGAGCACTGGCAAAGTAAAACAATTTTTCCTGACGGCTTTTTTCATGAAAAACGAAGCGGTCAGCAGTGCAGCGACTGTTAACTCGGCCATATTTGTTATTGCGTAAATGGGAAGGTATAATATACTGCTAGCGATAACGTTGTCATCAATTTACTAAATCGTTAAAAAAAATTGTCGGATTGTATTTCATATTAGCTCTCCGGAAACTATTTAAATGAATCAGAAAGTTAAAATACAGAGTGTATTTATATGTCTGAATGAATATTGCGACTTCTTATATGACAGTTATTCGATATTTCATGGATAATCAAACTTCTCACCTATTTCAGTCAAATAAAGTCACAATTAATGTATTTTCCATTTTTTGCCAAATGATATACGGGTAGAGCAATGTTAGTTTCAGCTGCAATGTAATTTGAAAAAGATATATACATTTATTATATACTTATAGATGAAATATTGATGAAATAAAATGCGTATTTTCAAACTAAAAATTTATTTTTCACTGCAGTCTTCTGTCCCAGCTGCAGTGAAACATATTTTCCGTATTTTCACTGCATGATGTCTTGCCGGACTACTTGTTTTCTAAATTATGGTGGGGGGAAAATCCCGGGATCGCCTACATAAAAGCCGGGATCCGGGATCGTATTAAACATATAGTAATCCCGGGAATTGACCACCAGTTCTCGGTGTCGACGATAAATTATCGATTATCTCATGCATTTCGTCAAAGATATGCTTGTGATTTTTATTGTTGATGGCTATGATATATTTTTGTATTTGAATGATTTTCGGTACTGTATACATGTTTCTTGGTTGGTTATTTCATATGTTTGATAATGAAAACGTTTTATTAATAACAGCCGTACTACAAATACTACAATTTAGAAATAAAGTTTAGATTATTTTATTATTATTATTATTATTATTATTATCTGAATGTTTTTGTAGAGCTTTTTGAATAAGTTTGATTTGTAGTAGGTATGAAAAAAAAATCTGCTAACGTATTTTTTCACACATGAGAGAGTTATCAAGTGACTGTTGGTGTGTCCATCATAAACATCATGATAAAAGTTTAATATACATGTATACATACATGTAAATTCTTAAATGTATTTACCAAACTTTTATCATAATATGATAATATGATAATTATGTAATAAGAAAAAGTAAATATAAGTTGTCAATCAAGTCATTTATTTATATATATACATATGTATTTTCATAAATCATTAATGCAAATTGTTAATTAAACAAAGAGAGATACCGGAAATTGACCGTCTGCCATATCATATTTAGAAAAGCCGGGATTGTATTAGATATATAGAGATCCCGGGATTAGACCACTGCCATGTCACATTCAGAAAAGCCGGGATCGTATTTAACAAAGAGAGATACCTGAAATTGACCGTCTGCCAAATTACATTCAGAAAAGCCGGGATCGTATTAGATATATAGAGATCCCGGGATTTGACCACTGCCATGTCACATTCAGAAAAGCCGGGATCGTATTAAACAAAGAGAGATACCTGGAATTGACCGTCTGCCAAATTACATTCAGAAAAGCCGGGATCGTATTAGATATATAGAGATCCCGGGATTTGACCACTGCCATGTCACATTCAGAAAAGCCGGGATCGTATTTAACAAAGAGAGATACCGGGAAATGACCGTCTGCCATATCATATTTAGAAAAGCCGGGATCATTTAGATATGTAGAGATCCCGGGATTAGACCACTGCCGTGTCACATTCAGAAAAGCCGGGATCGTATTTAACAAAGAGAGATACCTGGAATTGACCGTCTTAGATATATAGAGATCCCGGGATTAGACCACTGCCATGTCACATTCAGAAAAGCCGGGATCGTATTTAACAAAGAGAGATACCTGGAATTGACTGTCTGCCAAATTACATTCAGAAAAGCCGGGATCGTATTAGATATATAGAGATCCAAGCTGGATCACATTTATAAAAGCCGGGATCGTTTTAGAAAAGCAGTGTCTATCATCACCACCATCATCGTCGTCATCATCATCCTAATCATCATCACTAATAAATCAAGTTATTATAACAAAGGGAAAATTATTATTGAGTGGCATGCGGCATAGTTTAAATATATATAATAATGGGTATATAACGAAGGTCAATACAAGTTGGCAATTAATTAATTCTATGATAATATACATGTATCTAAATCATATATCAGTAAGGTAGAAGTAGCTAGTTCATTTTGAACAAACACAAAACAGAACAGAACTTTTATTTCGGATTTATACATAGTACATCATCACATACATAATAATATTCAAGTAACATGTACTTTCAGTGCAATCAATGTAAAGAAATCATGATATAAATAATATAAAGAAATCAATAATTGTAATGAAACTTACGTTGATTGTTATTAAGCCTCAGATAAGTGAGGATGAACATATTTAAGGTAGAAAATCAATATCAAAACTTTAAAATAAAAAATTTTGATCTAACATTGAACATAATTTAATAGTGAAGTTCTACCAGTCATAACATTTTTGTAATAAAATGCTAATTTACACAGTTCATTTCTATTATTACTTTGCACCACGGATTTATATTACATTATATAAATCCGTGCTTTGCACCAATGCAATAAATTTGTAGCTACTTGGGTTAACAAAATAATGTCTTTTAATATAAAGGTTACGAATATTTGTATAGCATGGGCATATAAGATCAAAATGAAATTCGTCTTCTAAGTCTCTTAAAGCAGCACGCCTCCAGATTCATGCTTATTTTTATAAAAATTTTGACAATGTTTTTGAATGTTTTATATTGTAAAATAACCAAAAGGAAGCCATTTATACATTATCAATGGCACTTACAAGCCATGTAAATTACCAAAAAGTGGCGAAAAATGTACCAAGATTTTAATAAAGAAATTATTAAAAAAAAAGATAGAAGTTTCAGGTAATAATTAACATGATATACGCGATTTATGCCTGATTTTGTCGTATTTATAACGTTTATAACGTTAACCTGTTATAACCATACATATCACCTTCCGGCCCTACGCTGACGTGTATTAATGTCTTTAATACACTTGGCAGATCTAATAGTAGCATTTCAAAAAAAAAAAAAAAAATATATATATATATAATCAAAACAAATAGACTTTGAAGTTCTTTCGTTGAAATTCTTGTCTACTCTTCTACTGTTCTGTACAGAGATGTTTTCTGTTTGTGTGTTCAAAGCAGTAGAACCAAGAAGCAAGTTTTATTTTCATTTTTTTCGGAATCAAACAGTTAACTGTAAAAGTGAAAGTAGGTTGTCAGCACGAATCGCTTTATTTTTATTATGAGACCTTAAGCGTATTTAGTACAAACACATTTTTGTTCCTATTGAATTTGAAGAAATAATACGACAAATTCATTCCGAAAAAAATGAAAATAAAACTTGCTTCTTGGTTCTACTGCTTTGAACACACAAACAGAAAACATCTCTGTACAGAACAGTAGAAGAGTAGACAAGAATTTCAACGAAAGAACTTCATCAGTATCAGTATTATGAAATATCAATTTTAAGTATAATTAATCTTTAATGCAATAGCTATTAAATTCGAATTAAGGTGTTGAATTTTTTAATTGCTTCATCATTATATAGTCTGATTTTATTGACCTGTCAATTATGAATACATTATAGCACTCATTTACATATTCGATCTCACTTCGTTTTTTTCCGTTTATTTTACGAGAATTAATATGGAGTGTATCACTTACGTTTGGAAAACTATTACTTGATTAATGTAGTTTCTTGTAACATCCGCAATAGCACAGTCGGTTAAGTGATTACCTAATGCATGAGGGGTCCGAGGTTCGATCCCCTTTTTGACATTCTTTTTAGACTTATTCTTTCTTTATTTTTAAGTATATTTTAATGAAAATGGTCAAGCGCTTGCAATTTGTCTACACGGATATGAACCAACTAAGAAACTTTGAATTGTCACATTTTATATTGTATAATTACATTTATTGATTTTAATCGGAATGAATTTTCAGTATTAATTCTTAAACATTGTTATATACAAATATATAGTATTTACAAAAAGGTGCAAAACATATTAAATACGGAACAACCATAACTATAACTTAAAAAACATGTTGAAAATAGTTATGAATAAAAAAAAATACTGGACATACTGTCTCGATCCTACAACACGTTGAACATTCAGATAAATATACCAGTGGTTTACCCTATTGCACTATAACGGTCAGTGTAACTAATTCAAAATAACAAGATGAATTTAATCACATCTTACTGCGCACATCTCACGGAATTTACCGAACATTTATCGAATATTAATATATTCTGTGCATTGACCGTATAATCAGTATGGAATTGACAGGTTAATAAAATCAAACAATATTTTTCATTTACCATGATCTTGCACATATAAATTTTCATCAAGTTATGTAACGTGAATTACTATTTTCAATGTTATACGAACCGCAGCCAGAAAGGCCGGGATCGTATTAAAACATATAGGGATCCCGGGAATTGACCAGTCCAAGAATATATTTTTCAGATAAGCCGGGATCGTATTAAACATATAGGGATCTCGGGAATTGACCAGTCCAAGAAGATCTTTTTCAGATAAGCCGGGATCGTATTAAAACACATAGGGATCCCGGGTATTGACCAGTTCAAGAATATAGTTTTTAAGAAAAACCGGGATGGTATTAGACGTACAGATAAAGAGTAAATTATCATTCGGTCTATTGGCCATAGTCGGAAGTGTAACTAAACACCTTTAATACACCAATGTTAATTAACACCAGGGACGATACGTTTTGGGTCCTGTACTGGACATATTTTTTAAGGAAAATGAGGTCCGCTACAGTTCTTTTTCATTTTATATTAAAAAATGACAAATCATTTGTTTTTCTTTTAAAAATATTCATTTTAGACATTCATATCTGTTTATAAGTGAAACATGTTATTTTTATACGATCCATGGAACTTGATTACTTGTTAAACATCTGTAATATATACCTTATGTTTTACAATTGTATTCTTTTCTTTTTTTCTTCAACGTGAAAGCCTTCTGGTATAGTATATATCATTAGAAAAACAACAAGACATTTGTTAATTTGCAGATAAATCAGCATTTTTATATAGTATTTTACACGCCTTTTATGTAAAATAAGCATGCCAATTATGTCGAACTTGTATTTACAATAATGTATAAATACTCAACCATAATGGTCACGAAAAATAGTTGATTTTCCTTATTAGATATAAGCACAGATATTGATACATCTATGCTGAATTTAACTGTGTGACGTCACAAGTTGCTTCTCCAGTCTATTCAACTCCATGATATAAGAGATCCCGGATAATCGCATTAAGAAAAGCCGGGATCGTGTAAGATATAAGTTTGATAAGTTTGATAAGTTTATTTCAATATTCCATTGGACCAAATGGTCCATGAGGATAAACAGATACATGATACATGGCAAGACAGTGTTAAAGCATAATACATACAATAACATGTGTAAATGGAGAAGGTATAACAAAATTGGTATAATCATCAATAAAATTGAACATCTAACAAAAGGACATTCAAATGTATTCTAATGTTAAATAAATTACCATGTCTAGCAAAACTTACAGAGAAGTTTGAATTTCATACATTGTTTTGAGTTAAAATTTGATTAAGATAATGTTATATTAATATTAATGCGGTTATCATATAAAATTTATATTCATATTTGGGCTTGAGTATCTGTAAATAGCTGTTTCTTTTGTCGAATCAAAATACAAAACAAACAATAACCATTTGTCGGTAAATTTTTAGATTTATAGAACGTGAATCAATTTAAAAACAAAATTTAAATGAAATTTTTGACAAAAACTCGGATGTTTATTACTGTATAATAAGAAATTTATCTTTATACCTTGGGGTTCGAGAGTACGGTGTAATGTTGTTTGCCGAAACAAAACACAAAGAACCCACCATAAACTAATTAAAGTCAGTAAATTTAGCTATAGAGAGTGGTTCGATTTAAAAAGGACGCACAATCTTCTAAGAATTCATTTAGCTATACATTTACAAATATATATCCTTGACATGTATCTTCTAAACTAAAGCATTCACTAATTCAAAATTATTAAGCATAAAATTTAACTATGCATTTACATATATATTATTGACATAATTTATCCATTTCACTAAAATTTCACTTATTCAAAACAAAATAAATTAATCAACTTAACAATAATGACTACTAATTATTTGTGTATAATCTTTTCTTTTTCTTAGTGTAAAAGCATTGTTTACAAATTTTCCTAATTTACGTAATGTGCATACATTTTCAGAATTTAATAATTCAATGAATTTTGGCATATTTGGACGTCTCCAGTAATAAGGCGGTATCAGACTTTTTCTTAAATCATTATATACTTTGCATTCTAATATGAAATGGTATTCGTCTTCTAAGACATTACATGAAAAACATTTTCTATCATTTAAAGGAGTACTATTTGGTTTAGTCCATCTACCTGCTATATATATAAGATATATATATCCCGGGAAATTGACCATTACCATCTTGCTTTCAGAAAAGCCGGAATCTATTAAACAGTACAGAGATCCCGGGAATTGACCACCTGTCATACACGTCAAAAGTTTTTTTTTGTTATCAATTATGTTAAAGTATATCTTCTGATCTTTTCTAAAAATAATATTTAAATACATGAACATAAAATTAAGCCAAATATTGTATTAACAAAAACTTTGATTTTTCCAATTATACTATAATTACAAGTATTGTGATTTCCGCATTTTAAATTTGTTAATAAATAACTCGAAATATATTTAAGTCTTAAGTTAAATTCATTTACTGTTCATTACATACAATTAAAGAAATAAATAGTTAACATTTAATCGCCTCTCATTACGACAATAATCAACATGAGTTTTCCCTATATATTTAATACGATCCCGGATCCCGGGCGTCCCGGATCCCGGATCCCGAGATTTTCCCCCACCCTAAATTATGCCATTATACAACATTTAAGGGAATTTTTTTCAATTGAAAAGTCTAAGGGGAAAATTGTAGATCTATGTAATAAACAGAAAATACAAGTTTTATTTCATCGTATGTTATGAAAACTATCATATTTCATAACACACGACGAACATAAAACCTGTATTTATAGAAAAAAATGAATATCCTGTATTTATTCTGTACTTATATTATTAACTAGATATATCAACCTTGATATTTCTAATCCAACACATCAGCTAGATTAGTCACAAAGAAACTCATAACTGGCGAAAATGAATATATTTAAAGCGCGGTAAAAAATAATTATAATCACAATAAAAGTAAAGTAATGTACCATTTATTTTATGCACGTAATTTGCAAGTCTTAAACTGGATAAACTGGCTAAATTTGACAGGAACATTAAGACAAATTGTGAGTCGCCTTACTAGATTTTCCGTTTGAAACTAGCGCTGCCCATATGTATTATGACGTCGCGACCCCGAACATTACCGAATGAATGACGTATGGTTACGACGTCAGACTTTCCAGGCAACAGTGAAGGCGCTACGTTGGTAGGGACAAAAAAATAAAAGATGCTCCTTCAAATAACTTGATAATTCCGGTGTAAGATGAGGACAATTCATCCGAAGTGGATCAATATTCCAGACGTGGTCCTCATTGAGGTTTTTAAATACTTGTCGGATACAGAACGCGCAAAAGCTGCGCTCGTGTGTGAGAATTGGAGCAGGATATTCAATTCACCGTGCCTGTGGAGATCTCGTTCGTTTGAACTTGGCGGCTACAAGGCTCAGACCCACGGCTTACGTGCATGCAGATTTGCGGAAAACTTTGGTAAATACTTACGTTACATGGCCATAAGCTGCAGCCACCCTTCATACCATACGTGTAAATTATTTCAGAAGTCCATCGACGATTTTCTCGCCTCACTTAAAGATGCCGAGACGCAGCTGTACGAGTTTGAGTTTTGTAGATTGGAACTTGAGCGTTACTGGAAATTCGATACTCACAGAGAAAAGCTGATAAGTATTTTATCAAAATTTCTTAAAACACAGAAACTTCTTCAATGTTTTGACATGTCGTCTGCACAATTTCCAGCGTTCGGTGGATGCCGCGTTCTGGACGCTATTGCACACCAATCCGGTAGCTTTATCCAGGACATGATTTTGGAAGATTTTTTCCACTCAAGATTGGCAGTTCACCTAGTGAAAAAGTTTAATAAAGTCATCGGAAAATTTTCCAATTTGAAATATTTGTCGCTTAACTACAACTGTTTATCCGACGAAATCCTGGAGACCTTCTCAAAGTCCCTTCAGGGCAAACTGCATTTTCTGAATATCAAAGTGTTCAGAAACGATCCCCACTTTCATCGAATATCCGGCTTGGCTTGGAAGCAGTTTTCACGAGCGTGCCCGCGCTTGCGCGTGGCGGTCTGGTTTGAGAGCATCGGAATGCACCAGGAAATAGTGCCAATACTTGTGAAGGAGGCGCCTATAAAAGATATCCATATATGGTCAGGATATGATGACGACCTGGACTGGAGACTGTCAGAAACAATTGACCATATTACAAACACATACGCAAATGCGATAGGTTAGTGATTGTTTTTTCAAATCTTTTCAAGTTACTTCTTACATTGAAGTTATTAATTACTAGATTAAACAAATCAAAATATGCATATATCATTTCGTTGTAAATTGGTAATAAAAGTAATAAGAAGCTATATATTATTTAAATGTAAATCAAGAACCAAGTAAGTTACTAGTAGTTAATTATTTAAACTATGTTTACACTGGGACATAAGATAACTTATGTCCCAGGTTTACAAAATGAACAAGACAGTCTGAAGGACAGCTAAATCCCCTTCCGCAGTGAACATGTGTACTTTCTCACCTTTTACCAACCATGACCTTGATGTTGTGTCATGCATATCACAAGCACATAGTCTCAGGGTGGTGATTATTTGTGCCAAGTATTTAAAATCTTCCATAAAATCAAAAAAGTTATGGCGAACATATAGCATTGACATTGGGTGTAGCAACCTGGATGTTGAACTCTGCAGATTGTGTCATGGTGGTGATCATTTGTGCCAAGTAATTTTAAAACCTTTGAATTGTCAATAAGTTATAGAGCTGACATGACATGAATAGATGGTTTTTTTTTACATTGGACCTTTGAGTGTGACACTGACCTTTAGGATTGTGACTTGATTATTGTGCTCTGCCAATAGTGTCATAATGTTGATCATTTCTGCCAAGTTATCATAAACGAAATGTAGACTTTTTACTATTTGCCTGTAAATGTGACATTGACCTTGGGGGTAGCAATTCAATTATTGCGTTGTGCACATCGTCTCATAATGGTGATCACTTGTGCCAAGCTATTAAAAAAAAATCACAGGTTTAAAAGTTATGGAGGGGACACGAAATGTAGACTTTTTATTATGATATTAAGACTTTTTAACATTTGACCTTTAAGTGTGACCTTGACCTTGGGGGAAGCAATCCAGTTTTTTGCGCTCTGCACATCGTCTAATTATGTTAATCACTTGTGCAAAGTTATTTAAATAAATCAGCGGTTTAAAAGTTATAGAGCGGACACGAAAATGTTAAGGACGGACAGATAGAGGCCATTCCTATAATCCCTTTTCCGCTACGCGGAAGGGGATGAACAAAATTTCAACAAAAAAAAAAACTTTGTAAAGCGACCAGTGGTAAAGCCACCGTGTATGCCCTGCTATTTTGGCGCCAAAACATAGCCTGTTAATGATCATGATCAACACGGCAGGGCGGTGAAAAATAGAAGGTTTATAGTGTTTCATTTAACTCGCACATCCACGGTATGGAGTTCGGGGTTATAATTGACCAACATACTATACGTGCATTTAATTTACTTTCATTGTTTTTGTATTTAAAGAATCAGTATCATTTGAGCTTGACAACACCCAAGAAATCGTTGACCAACCCTTACTACACCTTGCAGCAAAGTGCAAAAAGCTGAAAGAGCTGTCAATAAATGCCATGATTTCCATAAAAACTGTAGAAGATATTTGTGAAATGCTGAGAGAGAAAACAATTGGTAAGTATTTATATCTGATAAAGGGAACATTTTCATACATTTTCCATAGTCAAAATATTTTGAGTACTAGATTCTCAGACATTTTTGTTCTGGGTCAAAATCTTCCTGCTTCTATAGGGGAGATAATTTTTATAGGTTAGTGATTTTTTTTTCAAAGTTATTTCTTGCATTGAAATTATTAATTACCAGATGGAGGTCTGGGTCAAAATCTCCCTTCTTTTAAAGAGGAAGATATTGCCCATTAACAAACCAGCACAATATATGGATGTACTGTACAACAGAGATGTTATCTATGTCTCTGGGTACAATTAGTTAGACAACCTTTTTTCAATATTGGCTTTCATTAAGAGAAAAAATATTTATATTAAAATTCTAGGAAAAGTTTTAGTATTGCTTCTGCAGTTACATGTACAATGCACATGTTTATTGATCTATCAGAACAGAATTGACCACTGATTATTTTCAATTATTTTCTGTCAGCAACAAGAAAAATATGGTCATTTATTGGAAACATAAATGTCATCAGATTTTACATTTAGTCAGCAACTAAACCATTTATAACTAATAACTATAAAATTATCTTTGTTATAATTAGATCTAATAACTATAAATAATCTTTGTTATAACAAATAATTTTAGATTATCTTTGTTATACCTATAATATCTATAAGTTATTTTTTAATAACAAATAACTATAAATTATCTTTTTTATAACTTAAAGCTATAAATTAACTTTGTTATAATTAATAACTATAAATTATCTCTTTTGTAAGTATAAACTATCTTTGTTATAACTAATAATTATGAATTTTCTGTTTTTTAAACTAATAACTCAAAATCATCTATTATAACTAATAGCCATAAATTATCTTTTTTTAACTATATAATAACTCTAAATTATCATTTTATATACTAATAGCTATAAATTATCTTTGTTATAACTAAAAACTATGAATTATCTTTTTTTACAAGCTAATAACTATAACAAATAGCTATAAATTATACTTTTTTTGAAACTAATAACTCTAAATTATCATTTTATATACTTATAGCTATAAATTATCGTTATTATAACTAAAAACTATAAATTATCTTTGTTATAACTAATAGCTTTAAATTATCTTTGTTATAACTAATAACTCTAAATTTTCTTTGTTATAACTAATGACTATAAATTATCTTTTTTTACAACTAATAAAAAATACCCAGATTTTAAAAAAAGGAAAAGGATTCAAGATAGCTGTGATAATTTCTATGTTATGTGTGATTTATGTCCAATTTAACAGTATTTTTCATTATATTTCAACTGCTTTACTAACACAGTAACAGCTATTTTTTGGTGTGTATATTTTGACCTTTTTGGTAATTTACAAAGGTTATAAGTGCTGCTTGCAATGTGAAAATTATTTTCTTTGTTCGAAGCATTTCATTAAAACAGTTATGTGAACTTTTAGAGGGTGGTGTTAAGTCATATTACCTACAAGGGCAATATATATTTAAAATGTGTTACAGAACTTTAAGAGGGCAGTGTATGTCGAAATTACCTAAAAAGGGCTATACATGTATATATATATTAAAAATACGTGTTACTTTTAGTGGATAGTGTGTGTCAAATCGCACTAATCAGCTATATATAAAACTATGATTTTCTTTATCAGATCTGTCAATGCTGCATGTAACCTTTTGTGGAATTGGAAGTCAGCTCGTCTCAGAGGAGGAACTTGATCAGCTGCGTCGTCATTATACACACATCTTACAAGAAATTGGCACCGAGTTTCGACTCACCAGATTCGACTTTTAATAATTTTCTATGTTTTAATGTCTAATTCCACAACAGGTCACATGCTATACAATTGTTTGTTTTTTTTCTTAAGTCATAACTTTTATATTTATTTTGATTGAAATTAATTTATCAAAAGGTTGTTTGTGGGTTTTTTTATTTGTGCATTAACATTTCTAAACTTCTTTTTAAAATCAATTTATTTCCAAATTAGTGATATTCTTCATCTCTAGCATAATTCATTCTTTTTTTAACTTTACAGTAAAAAAGCACAAATTCATTTTTTATATCCAAAATTTATCAAGGGAATGTTTGGAAATTTATAAATAACACTGGGAAATTTAAAAATAACATGAAAATACGTATCCAGTAACAGTATCTTTCATGTTTTTGTTGTTATTTTTTCTGTTAGATTTACGAGAGCTGCTGGTGACCTGTTGTGGATTGACAGACATAGAATGGAATATGTTAGAAACTCTTCGATCTACATACAAACCAATATTTAAAGAACGCAAAATTGATTTCCAATGCACCTCAGATCTAATCATTGAGTCATCTATTTAATAAATATGTGTTTTATTTATCAGAGCTGTTTATGAAGAAAAATGAAATTATTGTCTGAAAAAGTGTTTTGTTATTTTACATTTCCAAATCATCTGTGAAAGTTGAATTTGTTTCATAAAACAGAAAAAATACCATGCAATAAGGATGCTAAAATAACCCTGATACAATTTTAATCATTTATTACATACTTTTGGCGGTTTATAGAAATATATCAGTGATATAAATGCTGGTAATTCACTGTTTAAAACAGTGAAATTATCAATTTGATAATTTCACTGTTTTGAATTTTAGCCCCTTTACGTTGTTTCAGTGAAGTACCAGCGTGCTCAGTACTGGGAATCAACTTAATGACGTCATAAATGACGTCACGTTGTATTATTATTTGAAGCGCTTTTCATTTCGTATTAGGTTAAATGTCTTTTTAAACATTTCTTTACATATAATAAAAAGAAAATTTGTTTAGTTTAGTGTAAGATCGAAATATATTTCACCTTGTGAACACCAAAAGTTCATATTTCACTCGTGGCTGCGCCACTCGTGAAATAGAACTTTTGGTGCTCACTCCGTGAAATATATTCCGATCTTACACTGAACTAAACAAATATCCTCTATTTCATCATGAATTCCTCTTAAAAAGAATAAATGCCCAACAATTATCAATTATTTTTTTTTTCTTCTTTAAAGTATATAAAGCTACATCTCTGTTGCCAACAGTTTACAAAGTTTTTGCATAGATTTTAAGAAAAAATAATTATTCCAAACTGCAAGTATGAAAGACATATGTTGGTATATTTCTGTTGAGTGGATAGCACATGAACAAAATCATTGCTAAATGGTTAATAACCTAATTAAAACATTCTATGTTGCAACTCTTTCCAGAATTGACCATAGGCACGAGTATCGGACCTGGGAAGAAAATATGACCACATTGAAAAAAAAAAACACCTTGTGTTCATCTTTAATGTGTCAAAAATAAAAAAAATAAATTTTTGCCCCCCTTTAAAATATACTATATACTTAAACTTATAGTATATTTTTAAGGGGGACATTTTTTATATTTTTTTTGACGCATTTAAGATGAACACAGAGGTTTTTTTATCAATGGGGTCATATTTTCTTCCCAGGTCCGATACTCGTGCCTCTGGAATTGACAATAAGATTGAGGAAACAACATAATTTTTTCGCTTTTAAATTTTATAATGATAATTCTTAGTGACATTAGATATTGCTTTATACCCTTTTAAACTCATCAACTCTTTTTTAAGAAGTCTGTTTCAGCAAAATTTTCTGTCACATGTGTGAAGAATAAAAAAGCCTAAAATGATCTGGCACCTGGGTTAAAAAAAGCAACAGCCTTTTAAATATGATGTGGCACCCGAGTAGAAAAAACAAACACCTAACAACCAAAGATTATCTGGCAAAAGGATGGATAAAACAACCTAATATCAACAAGCACCTGAGAGAGAAAAAAAACATAAAAGTATGTGTGGAATAATTTTGGAGAAAAGAACCTTACAGTATCTTGGTGGAATAATTTAGAAGAAAAAGAAATTCACGTAATAGTATTTGGGTGGAACAATTTTGGAGAAAAACAACCTAATTGTATCTGAGTGGAACAATTTTTTCATTATCTATTAGGACAGCTTCATTATATGAAACAATACAAAGTGTAGAGCAAAATTTGCACCCTACATCTAAGAGGGTGGGGGAATCCAGGTAAGCAATTGTGATGTTACTGCTACTGCCATTAAATTGATAAATCTAGAACGAAAAATATATCAAACTGGTAACCATGCAAGTATCCAAGAAATTAAGAAAACAAACAGAAGGTAAGAAAATGAATTAAGGAAGACTTTATTTTACATGAATAGTTGTAGTTTTATAACAAACTAATTTTATTGCACAATATATGTTTTTATGTATGATAATGAAAATACAAATGTTTTCAGTAGCTAAAATATGTTAATCAGTAAAATACATTGACCTAAAACATGCAGTTTTGAGAACAAAAATCCCATATACATACTGCTTTTAATGTTGAAGATGTGTTTATAAACAAAAAATACCTGGAAAACAAACTTCGAACTTTTTAGGAAAAAAAAGAAGAAAAAATGGGATCTTATTCAATTTCTAAAATTTGAATATTTAACCTTGCCGATCAAGGTCATCAAGAACAAAAATGTCAAAGGTTTCACAATTGAAAATAAAGCTTTTTGTCCAAAAATAAGTTGTGTTGAAGTAAACTAACAAAATCCATTAACAATATAATATGCCTGATCGATCAATTTAGGGGGGATAAATTACAATATTCTTTTTTACTTATTAGCAGAATTTTTTATTACATTAAAGTGAGTAAAGCTATATATCTGCTGCCAAAAATCTTTGTTTGAAAATTCTTTCAAAATGCTTGATGAAAGAAATATGGCAGTGTACTACCTTAAAAGTGAAATGTAAAGTGTATTTGAATAAGTCATATGACAATTTATAGAAGAAGATTATGTACTCTCTCTATTTATTATTCACAACGCACACAGATAACTACATAGAACCATCAAAAATGACTTGTGTGGCGACTCCACATGAAGAAAACAATATCAAGAAGAAAACTGTCAATACTATATCTAAACCAGATACATTAACAAATTACATGTATATCCGAGTACAACAAAGCATTATAACATCATATACATTGAACAAAGCACATTTCACAATCTCTGTACAACATATACGTAAATTAAACTAAAACTTTCTCTTGGAAAGGACATCATACAGATTCAACTCTGTCAGACTTACATGTATGTAAGAACATAAAACTTCTTGTTTACAATAACTTTAACATACATATGTATATATGTAAAGCTTGTAATAACAAGTTTACATAGCCATTTGAGCCGCATCATGATAAAACCAACATAGCGTGTTTGCGACCACCATGGATCCAGACCAGCCCGGGCATCCACGCAGTCGGATCAGGATCCATGCTGTTCGCTTACAAACCCTATTGCAAGTAGAGATACTGACAGCGAACAGCATGGATCCTGATCAGACTGCGCGGATGCCCATGCTGGTCACAAACGTACTATGTTGGTTTTGTCATGGCGCAGCTCAAATATATAATTTTGCTTCCAATTTAATAGGTATTAGACCTGAAGCAAACTAAAAATGAAAAAGATCTGGTATATCCATGGATAAAGTCCTAATGTGACACCTTTACAATTATAGTGATCACTTTACATGAATTATATCCCAGTTGAGTTAGATACCATTCTTTTGCTCAATTCACAGAATCGCAGCTGAAGAAACATCTGACCTAGGCAGAAATTCCCGTTCTATTTCTGAATACATCAGACAGCTTTTGCTGTTATATTGATGAAAATGAACACATATTTAGCACTGTATTTCATGCACCATGTATACTGCTCCTGTCACAGTTTTTTTCACTATATGTACAATCACTTGTCTGCTGGCAGCACTTCTCCTTTTGTTGACAGTTTGATCAGCTTTAGGGCTCTCAATACCTGAAATATGACAGCATTTGAATCATTCTTATACTTGGTGTATACATGTATTAATAACCATCATGTTTGAAATAGAGAATTTTTCACATGGCAATACTGGAATCTGCTTATTGAATCTTATACTTGCATTATCACAGTGCTATATACACTAGGGTATAAACCATAAGTTATTTTCTATAAGCATGTTTTTTTTAATCATTAAATCTGAACTGTAACTCAGTCTATGATGTGTTATTGTTATACCCATAAACATTCATCACTTAGGGTCGTCCATGCCATATGTAAACCTAGTGTGTCTTTTCTTCAGAATGTAACAGATGTTCAAACTAGTGCGCTTGAAGAGAAAATGTTGCCGTTGTAGACAGAAAAAAATTATTTTCCTGACTGCCTATGGTGGCAGAAATGCTCTGAAAGTGGCTTACACTCTGACAGAAAATCAAGATCACTCTGTTATAAATTTTCTTTAATCTTAGCATACTTATTACAGCAAATTAGACTTTAAACTATCATTTGCAATACGTTATTATCTGAAGAAAAAAAAGTTCCTTAAAAACATGTTTTTTTAGGACCTTAGAACACTCCAACAAAAAATCCTGTTCTGTCATTCTAAAAAATCTCTGTCCTATACAAAATTCATCTTGTTACCTCCCTAACCCTAAGCATGCTTGTGAAAAAAAATCTACATAATAATGCCGACCTTGAAAATAAACCTTCCACAAAAAAAAGCCACCAATATCTTACCAAAACTTACAATAAGCCACAGCTCATTTTCCAACGTTTATTGTATGTGAGCAGAGCAGACCAAGATCAGCCAGTACATCTATGCTGTCTGATCAGGGTCTACATTGTTCACTATTTTCAGTATATATTTTGTCATTTTCGCTAAAGGATAATATGGTTTTATCCTGATTGAATGATGGATACCTCCATTTAAACAGGGTAATGGTTAAATTAACACGGTTCTATTTTCTCCCCAACAGGATATTCAGCTGAACAAAGCCTGTTTTGTTACCAATTCATAAAATATCTATCACTGTTTCCCTCTATGATAATTTTTGAAAATCAATAATATACTTTGTCAGCATATTACCCTAATATACTTTGTCAGAACTTACAAATTTACCTTTTGATCTTTTAATGAGTTTTTAATGAGTAATTTATGCTCCTGTAATTAAATGAATACTTTACTCTTTAGCATGTTTTATAACTTTAACAGTGTAATGTTTGCCACGATCTAACCTACTATATCAATCTCTGATTAAAATGGTTACCTTTAATTTAGCCTGTCCGGTTACCCCTGAAACTTTTAGACCCATTTTATGTAATTCATCTGGAGCAAGCTTCGTGCTAAAGAAAAAAAAAGAATAAATGGTATAACATGTTACAATTGTCAAATTGAATACCAGCATTACAATATGGTAAGTTTATGATATGGTAGGTATGCTATACACATTCAATTTCAAGTTCTGTGATACTTTAATTGCCTTGAAAGAAAAAAGGTATTTAAATTGAAATAATACAATGTATCTCGATATACAACTGGCAACAAAATAGAGGCATTCTAAATATTATTCAACAAAGTAGAAATAGAAGGTTTCACGGCAAAAGGAATAAAATGTCACTGAACATAAATAAAGTATAATGATAAGTCCTATTAAGATTACTGTAACCCAACGAATATTCGCGACCAATTAATATTCGCTTTATTCTCGGATGGCCACGAAGCGCGAATATTTGTTTGCGCGAATAAGTCCGCACGATTTCGCGAATAAATTAGAGAGATTTTTTTATTTTAGACGTTGTTCATGCAAAGCTACTTGACCGGATATATTCGAATTTTACGGGCACCTGTTAGGAAGTAATGAATTGTTATGAATATTGCCATAAAGCAATAAAAACACAAACTCAGTAAACTACTACTATTTCATAAATATCAAAAGAACTCTATGTCAATATAGCAATCAAAATAAACATCCACATTTAATACAGTTTAGGAAATACTAGTAGGCCTATTGTCAATTACGTTCCGTATAGGGTAATATTTGAATAAATCGTTTGACAAAAGTGGGAAAACTATCGAGCATCACAAAAGGCTATTGTTTTTTTGATCCTATAAAATAATTGTTTGAGTGAATTGTTAAGACAATGGTGGTATAAACCTATCGAGCATCACAAACGGGTATTGGGTGAACATAATTACAAACAGTGAAATACAAGATGGTTTCATACTAGTATCGATTTTTACCCGTCAAACTAAACAGCCTGTATAGTTCAGTTAACATCCCTGCATTATGAGGGTTTATTTTTTATCAACAACCCTTTTAACGGCATGTTTAGAAATGAAGACGAACGATGCGTACATGTACATATATAGAGAAAATGTTTTGCTGATATGTGATCACCAATACAATATTACCAATACAATATAAGGCTAGCGTATTGTTAATCCCATTTAAAACACCAATAATGACCTCAATTATTGAAGATTAATAGTCGGCTATTGGATCTGACGGCCTCATCGGACTTTCCAATCCGCGAATATTTTTTTTCGGAAATCAAGAAAACGCGGAAATTAATATTCGCGAATATGTCCGACCTCTGCAAAACGCAAAAATTTGTATCCGCGAATATAAATTGGGTTACAGTACTCACCAGTCTTTATTGCTTTTAAAGAATTTCCACAAAGTAGAGTATGTCTGAAAAGTAAAAAGTTTCAGTTGTACACACCTAAATCTTCAATATGTTTAGGATATAAAACACATTTCCTTGATTCTTACATATATTTCAACCTAAACATGCTGAATTTCTTAAATAGACTTGTTCATCTTCCATTTTTGGAAGTGTCCATTATCAATTTTGGGAAAATCAAGAGGTATAATTTAATGTTTTCCAGCCAACAATATTGAGCCTGGTAATACTGCACTATACTGGAAACAAAGACTGATTACTTTGATTTCCAGCTTTGTAAAAGTTGAAATAGAGTGAATGGCATTACAACTTTTAAATCATGTAAGTGAAAATATAATAGTTATCAGAGTGAGAAAACTTCTCTCTATATCTTTATATCCTTATTTATAGTGGACTCGTGCTTACTTAACCTTGGATCAGTCCATTATCAGGTTAATGAATTTCATTATAAAAACATCAAAATCTAGCCAGATTACATAAATGTGCAGGCCTAGCTTGGCTCTATACTCTTTGCATTAGGGTAGTAAATTATCACTGCAGAAAGTACAATGGATTTACTTACACTGTTAACTTCTGTAAGTTTGACACGACCCCTGATCAACGAGGAAACAGACTCAAATTCTTGCTGTGTCACCTCTACAAAGTCATTAGTAGTTCTCCTTAACTGTGACGGTGATATTTCCGGGGTACCTGGTTAGTAAAATTAGTTTGGTAAGTAAAATCAGTATACTTGAAACCTAAAATCATACATTTAATATTGATGCTGTTAAATTTGAGACTGTGTTTACACCTTGGTGTTTATTTCTGCTCAAATACTAAAGAGTTTCCTAATGTAAAAAGTTAAGTTATACTTATTAAATGGTTGGCTCATGACAATAGCTCCCCTTCTTCAAAAAATGGAGCTAAATATGAAAATGATGCAATACAAATAAAAAGCAATATGATGGAGTTAATAAACATATTATTTTTTCATGCAAATTCTCTATCATTTAAATTATATGTCAGTCAAAATAAATATTAAGTATGCTTATAGTTACAAATTAAACAAGAGGGCCATGATGGCCCTGAGGTCGCTCACCTGTATATAGCCCAACCCTCCCGGGCTAATTTTTAACCCAAGGGCTTTTATTTGTTTATTTGAACAGACTTGGTAGACATCCATAAGAAGATGTTTCATGCTAAACATCTAAGTTATAGCTCATTGGGTTTTTTAAAAGAAGATTTTTTAAGTTTTTACTATACACATATAGTTAAAAACAATGAAACCCCTGGGGCAGGGCCAGTTTGACCCCTGGGCTTTTATTTAAACAAACTTTGTAGATATTTACTAAAAGATGTTCCATGCTTAATATCTAAACTCTAGCTATTTGGGTTTTTTTCAAAGAAGATTTTCAAGTTTTTGCTATACACAAAAAAGGAAAATCAATGACCCCCAGGGCGGGCCAATTTTGACCCCGGGGCTTTTATTTGAACAAACTTTGTAGACATTGATTAAAAGATATTTCATGCTTTATATCTAAACTCTAGCTATTTGGGTTTTTTCAAAGAAGATTTTTAAGTTTTTGCCATACACATATAAGTAAAATCAATGATCCCCCTGGGCGGGGCCAATTTTGACCCTAGGGCTTTTATTTGAACAAATTTGGTAGACACCCATTAGAACATGTTTCATGCTAAATATTTTAGCTCTAGCTCTTTGGGTTCTTTAAAAGTAGATTTTTTAAGTTTTTACTATATGCATATAGGGAAAATCAATGACCCCCTGGGGCTGTGCCAATTTTGACCCCAGGGCTTTTATTTGAACAAACTTGGTAGACACTCACTAGAAGATGTTTCATGCCAAATATCTTAGCTCTAGCTCTTTGGGTTCTTTAAAAGAAGATTTTTTAAGTTTTACTATATGCATATAGGGAAAATCAATGACCCCTGGGGCGGGGCCAATTTTGACCCTGGGGCTTTTATTTGATCAAACTTGGTAGACACACACTAGAAGATGTTTCATGCCAAATATCTAAGCTCTAGCTCTTAGGGTTGCTTAAAAGAAGATATTTAAAGATTTTTCTTTCGGTTGCCGTGGTAACCAGAGTTCTGCATGAAATTAAATTCTTTGAACAATTTTTAAAGGTGACCACCAAAGGAACATTCCTGTGAAGTTTGGATGAAATTGGCTCAGTGGTTTATGAGGAGATGTCATTTCAAGCAAAAGTTTACGGACAGACGGACGACGGACGGAAGCCGGACGAAAAGCGATCATAAAAGCTCACCCTGTCACTTTGTGACAGGTGAGCTAAAAAAACCACACTATTTTGTTATAACAAATAAATGGTTCAAGGTACAAATATACTCCACACTCCATTCAGACTAGTTTCCAAAACAAATTTCAATCTGCTACTAAAAAAAAGTCTCTCACTAGCGTGAAATTCAGAATCTGGTTCACTTTTCTCCAGGGATTCCTGACCATCTGCTGATGTGACTGTCATGCCTGACACATCTCCACTTTCAGTTGTTGCCATGGATATGTCCTGACCCCAAGGTAACTCACTCCCTAAGAACTCCTCTAATTTAGTAAGCTCTTCTGGTTTTTCTGTAGGCTTAAATTCAAAGATATAGCATAAAATAATTTCTGAAAAAAAAAAACTACTAAAAATATACCCTGTATTTTTTTATTAGGGTATGCACCTAGCTGTCAACTTCTCTATAAAAGAATGAAAATGGTTAAAGATAACAATGGTGAAGGACATATTGTTTGCAATCAAATCATTATGGGAACAAATAATATGCAATGTACTCAAGATTATGAATCTTAACTCTTTTGATAAAGCACTGACTGAGTGGGCCATCTAATTTAAGCACTTCATACACAAAACTTTTCATTTCAATTGTTAAAATCTTGTATTGTCATTAACTCCACAGTTATAATGTAAATCTATGTACTGCACAAAGCTGTATATTTTGGGGTTAACAATAGAAGATTTTTATTATAGTTCTACTTTAACCCTTTGGTCCAAAACTTATTTGGGATAGCCCTCATATGTTTAAAGGTAGGGATAAATATTTTAGCTTACCATCATTCCTGTGCCAGTCTGTAATGTTAGTAAAAGTTGACACACATTGTTCAAATGACCTCTGAACTCTCCCAGTGCTTCCTGTAAAATCAAACCATTCATTGAATTGATCGTGACTTAATTTAGATAATAAACTTTTGTGTTTGTACATATACGTTAACCTTAATAAATAAACCACAATTGCAGTTTCAGAACTTCATGTGTAGACAATATTTACTCACTAAACCATGAGTAAATCAATTATTTTCTATTCTCAAATACTTCTAAACAACAACAAGAAACATTATAGGTTTAGGTCGTTGTATTTGACAGAATTATTACATTTCAAGAACAATAATTTCTCTAGTCTATTGTAAAAAAATCAACTGAAAACATCTGAAACTAAGAAAAGACTGTAAAAATAAAACGGAACATAAATAGGGTGGGTGGGACGGGAATATGTATGCTTTCTTCTGTCATTTTTCGAAATGTATTCTATCAAATACGGACCTCGAGTGACGCTTTTACACATATACTCCCTTATATACAGTACACGCACGTGAAATTCGTTCAAAATTATTAAGGAATGTACAATAGAGTAAATCGAATTAACGTAAAATCATAAATATTTGCGATAAATATAACAGATACCGTAAACTGCGTATTGTTCGAAACGAAAATAATTTCACAGAGTGTAGGCTGATTCAAATTTTTTGTAACCATTTTAGATACAACCCTTTAGCATTGACATAAAAATCATACTGAATAACTCAACAAGAATAGGAAAAAAGAGCCTGACACGGAAAAAATAAAATACCACTATATCCCTTTTTTTCATTAATGTAACAGCAATAACTCTCCCATTTCCCAGGCTGGCCAACTAAAATTACTAATTAGTCTTTTGGATGAGACTTTAAAATGAGGTCTTGTGTTTGAATGCTTTAACACTTGGCATGCTAAAAATCAGCAGAAGTTCTGGAATTGGGGCATTTTCTTGCACTATCCTCTAAAATCTAAAATTACCAATACTCTTCTGAAAGGGTTTTTGCCCATATGGGCAAAACCAGCGGCATGTAAAAATAAACTCAAATGCACACACTTACCTTTTGAGACTCTTGGATAGCTTCAACCTGCTGTACCAAAGATGAGTACTCTTTTTTCACATCACTTATCTTACTGAGTAATTCTGCAGGATTTGTCTGAAATGCAGTATAATGTTGAACTTTTACATTTGGATATAGAAGCAATCTTGTAATTATTACCCCATAACCATATGATTTGCTTTTGTCCAGTATCAAATGGCTCTTGTTTGTCTATTGGATTTTTTATCATACCAACACTGTATGGCGACTATCTACATGGTGTAGCAGCTTTTTTTCTCTACTTTGGGAATGGTGCCGGTACCAGACTGATTGGGAAAAAATGCGTTATTTTGACTAAAATTGGAATTTTTTTTAATGCATCTTTTCAGCTACAAATGAGATTAGACATCATGAATAAAGATAGCTTACAGCTTCTACTGTCCAGATAGAACTATTGAGTGGTGATTTATATGAATATGTTGGATTTAAATGATTTTAGAAAAATCACTTTGCCTTGTGGGCATTTTGAACAGCCATTTTGGGAATTTAACATTGGAAATTGGGAATTTTAATGTCTATTTTCTATTGGGAATGGTACCGTTTTAGAGTAGTAGTTATATAAAGAAAAAAACACTGTGTAGCTTTACTTGGGGCAGAGTATCACTTGCATACACATGTACATAATCCAAGGGGTTTAACAGTATAAAGTTTCATTGTTTTGTCAGGTAACCTTCATTATAATCCTGTTAACACTCACATGTATTTTTTTTATTGGGGCTTAGGTTGCACCAACACCTTATAAGTCATATGGCGAATTTCCAGCTTTACTGGTGGAGGAAAATATCAGCTACTCCTCTGCCTGTTATCAGACACAAACTGGCACCCAAGTAGAACCATTGAACCATGAAACAATCCGAAGGAGCAGGCTGAACCCACAGCAGTGAGAGGCAAGTGGTTTGAAATCAACGACCTTAACCACTAGGCCACAGATGCCCCTTTTTACAAAGATTCAAGTTAATGGTGATAAATGAGATATGAATTTTGCCAATGTTAATACTACATGTAGGTTCAATAGAATAGCCACTAAATGTTTTCAAACGTCAAGCTTAAAATACTTAAATTATTATACCAATGGCAATACAAATCAATTCATTTAGGTTTTCATTAACCTACTCTGAATTAGTATATGTTAACAATCTTTTAAAAATAAATATATTTTCTGAAGAAAAAAAAACCAAAAACAAAACTAATATACAAGGCTGTATCAGTATAATAGTAATACAATTTACCTGCTGCAAATCTTCATTATTCTCAAATTCAAACTTCAATCTTTGTGACAGGCTGTTAACATCAGAATCGGCCTTTTGGAACTGAAATTAAATTATTTCTCATTGAAACTCTACATAAAATATCACCTTTTCATGCCTTTTTCCAAGTGTCACCGCAGGTCAGACCATCAGACCCATTCCTAATGGCAAATTTGCTTTTTTTTTGCATACATTTCATTCAGTTTTCAGAGAAAACTTCAAAGTATAATGTTCAGTGTCAGAGAAATTATCAAAATATATATATGCCAGAAACAGAATATCAAATCCAAATATATAGATTAAAAGTACTGGAGCAATAATCTTTAGCAAAATGAAGTTGTTGGACACATTTCTATTAAGAATTTTGCATTACAACATAATTTTTATGAACTTCAAATATTTTGTTTCCTGAAAATGTAAAAAAAGGGAAATAATTCTTTTAAACAAGAGGGCCATGATGGCCCTGAGGTCGCTCACCTGTATATAGGCCCCCCAACCCCCCCCCCCCCCCAAACGTTGCAGGGCCAATTTAACCAAAGGGCTTTTATTTGCACAAACTTGGTAGACACCCATAAGAAGATGTTTCATGCTTAACATCTAAGCTCTAGCTCATTGGGCTATTTAAAAGAAGATTTTTTTAAAGTTTTTACTATACACATATAGTTAAAAACAATGACACCCATTGGGCCGGGCCAGTTATGACCCCAGGGTTTTTATTTGAACAAACTTTGTAGACACTTACTAGAATATGTCTCATGCTTAATATCTAAACTCTAGCTATTTGGGTTTTTTCAAAGAAGATTTTAAGTTTTTGCTATACACATATAAGGAAAATCAATGACCCCGGGGCGGGGCCAATTTTGACCCCAGGTCTTTTATTTGAACAAACTTTGTAGACACTCACTAAAAGATGTTTTATGCTTAATATCTTAACTCTAGCTATTTGGGTTTTTTCAAAAAAGATTTTTTTAAGTTTTTGCTATACACATATAAGGAAAATCAATGACCCCCGGGGCGGGGCCAATTTTGACCCCAGGGCTTTTATTTGAACAAACTTGGTAGACACTTATTAGAACATGTTTAATGCTAAATATCTTAGCTCTAACTCTTTTGGTTCTTTAAAAGAAGATTTTTTAAGTTTTTACTATATGCATATAGGGAAAATCAATGACCCCCTGGGGCGGGGCCAATTTTGACCCCAGGGCTTTTCTTTGAACAAACTTGGTAGACACCTATTAGAACATGTTTGATGCTCAAAAACTTAGCCATAGGTCTCTGAGTTCTTTAAAAGAAGATTTTTTAAGTTTTTACTATATGCATATAGGGAAAATCAATGACCCCCCGGGGCGGGGCCAATTTTGACCCCAGGGATTTTATTTGAACAAACTTGGTAGACACTCACTAGAAGATGTTTCATGCCAAATATCTAAGCTCTAGCTCTTATGGTTTTTTTAAAGAAGATATTTAAAGTTTTTTCTTTCGGTTGCCATGGCAACCAGAGTTCTGCATGGAATTAAATTCTTTGAACAATTTTTAAAGGTGACCACCAAAGGAACATTCCTGTGAAGTTTGGATGAAATTGGCCTTGTGGTTTATGAGGAGATGTCATTTAAAGTAAAAGTTTACGGACGACGGACGACGGACGACGGACGGACGACGGACGACGGACGCCGGACGAAAAGCGATCACAAAAGCTCACCCTGTCACTTTGTGACAGGTGAGCTAAAAAAGGGCAACCAAAATCTTTTTATTTTGATTTGTATCATACATAATGCTTAATAAACAAAACAAGATAGAAAGAAACATATTAATAATTTAATTATTTTTCTAGAAATATGCTTTTATGTGATAAGCCCAATCGAGCATTTTAACTAGCCTGCTAAAGAGGCTGAGCGGACATATAACATTTTGGGAGTTTTGACCCTGCTCTTTTCACCCACTTCATGTCTTTCATATCAACTTCAAGTGTGTGTAACATTAGCAATGTTCACTATTGTAATGTTATATAAAGCTTGATTGGTTATGTAACCATCTCATGGGGAGTATGTTATGTTTAAGACCTTTTCACAAATTATGGGAGAAGATGTGTATGATGCACAATAGCTCTCAGTTGATAGAACCTTGGTATGGTATTTTAAGCATCCAGGGTTCAAGTGCTGCACAGTTTGACAGACTTTGCCATATTAGATCCAGCGTTGTTTAAGAAACATTTCATTTACTTTCCTGTGTTTAATGATGTCCAATTAGAATTATGGTATCATCATGATACCATAATTCTAATTGGACATCATTAAACACAGGAAAGTCATCATGGCATTTTATTGATATGAGAATTTAGTTTTATTTACAGTAATAATCAGAGTTGTAGGTAATAGATGTTATCTTTGTCTCTGGAATAATATATATGTATACACCCACTGACAGTCTCCATATGAACAACCTAAATAACTGAGGTATATTGAGTGAAAAAATATGGGTGGGAGTGGTTTCGTCTAACTACCAGTTCGTCGAAGTGGTTTTGGCGTACTTATAATTTATATAAAGTGCGAACACTATCTATTGTATAATGGGCATGTCAATTATCTCGGGTCTTAATGTATGGTTTATCACACGTTTTTCATGCAATTAAAGACAAGATATTGAAAATTTAAACCTATTGTTTATTCTTTTCTTTAGTATAATAGTAATATTTACATAAAAGAATATCACATTACAAAAGATCTCAGTGAACAAACAACATCATAAAAATATATATACGTATAAAATTACAACCTGTAAAAAAACTAGAGTCAACATTTACACAAATTACATTTCACACAAGTTTATTTTTATAATCTATGCCAAACTATATACACAAATAGTTAATACCGAATAAAAAATGCTTTTAATCGGAATAAAATCGACATATATACACAGAAAAAATAAAGTTTGAAAGAGAAAGAATTAATGTTCAATGCATAAATACAAAAAAAAAAAAAAAAAAAAATCCACGTACATGTACATAATAAACTATCGGCTGATAAGACAAACAAACTTTCACTGTCATTAATTATAAACAATTGATTTATTTTGTAAACCAAGCCCTAACTGAACAATTAATTTTGCAAACAAAATAATATTGTTTTTGTTTTTTGTAATTTATTCTTTTAATTACTCAAACATAATTTATCAAATAACGAAAAAATCATTATCAAAATAAGTATAATATATAAACATACTTCTACAATATATTATATTCATTTATGATATTTGCGTCATAATTTAATTATAACAAATTATTGATGGTAAAAACACTTTATATACAATGTATGAACCACGTCTACTTTGCCTTTAATTACTATATAACATCAGTTCGACGAAACCACTTTCGCACTATGGAGGGCGATCGTTGCCAAAATTCCAGACATGTAATGTGTTCCTTTTGAAAACTACTTTTGAAAATGCGAACATGTATGTCTAGAATTTTTTATTGCATTCGTGCACAGCAAATGATACGCCTCTTAATCCAATCTTTTAATTGAAGGCACCCGCTTTTAAATAACAAGTTTACATGTAAATCTTAACAACTGACCTAACATGGAGTGAACAACACATTTACAAGTTCGTATCTACCATTGCATATAATACATAAGCATGTTTACACACTTGTAGATATATATCTGTACCTGAAAAACACAAATGAAATGTAAAACTCGAATGCAGAAAATATAATTTAATAAAACGTGTTCCAGTCGTAGAACTACAACAGTACGTTTACACAGTTACATGTTTAAAATGACAAAAGTAGATTCACAAAGTTAAACGATTCTAAGTCATGCATGACGCCCCGCCTCTCTCTGAGTATTTATCTTCTATTATGGAAATGTACGGACAGGTATAATACCCGTCGCCTCTCTCCTATTTCTCAATAAAGTGAAGGAAAACACGGCGTCCATTCTTACTTTTTTTTATTTCTATAAAAAGTCCAATATTTTTGGTATCAAATGAAAGATTACTCCATAAGCTTTCTATGAGTGCCTCGGAAATAAAAATGAATTAAATAGATGTATTGAATTTTTAGGTTTTTTTACTCTGAAAATAACACTCTCGAATTGGTAAGAAAAACACGGCGTTCCCTCCAAACTTTTTTTTAAGTTCGTAATATATTTTGATAATTTTGGATTGAAATAAAAGTGTGCTTCATACGATTTATGATATATAATTATATAATGCCTAAAAATAAAAATGAATTAAATCAAACTGAATTAACTTTTCGTTAAAAAGTTTATCATGTTACTTTCTGTAAAATAGAGAAAATAAGAATCCCTAAAGAACGCTCAAAACGACAAAATTGAGAATGTTGCAGGCCCGGTTTGATTGAGCCTGCTCATGGACGGTAATGGAAAGAGCAAGTTATCGTCCACGCCCCCTAGCACCGGCTTAAGCAAAATTCAACATGAACTGGTACAATTTTGAAACATCCGCAGATGTGTTAATATGGCGATTATCATGGAACCTTCAATGTGACACGTAAGTGCCATACCATGAAAAACGGCATATGATCCCCAAGTAAAAAAAAACACACTCTGAAATTCAGTAAGAAAAACATGGCGCCCCCTACTTACTTTTTTTATTTCTTGGTCAATTTTGATAATAAACAAGATCATCAAGGAAAGGCGGCGTTGAAAATTTTAGACTCAAGTAAAAGAATCCTTTATGAACTTTCTAGTGATGCCTTAAAAATGAAAATTAATTATGTAGAAGTATTAAAAAAAATTGTTTCTAATTTATCGTTGTTTATTTTTTTCTCTCTTAAATCCACACTCATATATTCGGAAAAAAATAACGTCGCTTCCTTTACATACTTTATTCAAAAAGGAAATTGAATATTGAATGAAATTTAAGACCATAAGCTTTGAACAAGTATATTAAAAATCTGGAAACAAAGTGATCCCTCGGAAGCATTAATCACAACAAAATTACATAAGAATTGCAGATTCGGTTTAATTGAGTCTGCACATGAGGGATAATGAACAAGTGCAACATCCCTCATGCCCCCTAGCACCGGCTTGAACGGTACTCAATTCTCAACACTTAATAGCGCTGGCATCAATGATCCCGAAGGACCAGAAAAACACTGAAGTGAAGTACGGGGCAACTTTTTACAGCTGCCACACGGCACTTGACACCTGTTGTTGTGAAGTATTAAAATCTGGAAGCAAAGTGATCCCTCGGAAGCATTAATCACTACAAAATTACATAAGAATTGCAGACTCGGTTTGATTGTGTCTGTACATGAGGGATAATGAACAAGTGCAAAAAGTTTTTATTCATACTGAAAATACCTTATTAAAGATTGTACATATGTGCTACGGATAAGTATTTTCTTGATTTCGGAAAGGAAATCTCGGTGGCCGCTTTAAATCCTATTTTTGCAAATACTTGCATAGTTTTTGTTGAAAATGAAATTTGTGCCAATACATTTTTCAATGATACCAAGAATATTGGATGGTTTTTACATTACCAATAAAATTACTCCCTTGAAGTTGGTCATTGTTTCCCCTAAAAATTTCCAAATCGCCGATGTTTCTCAGGAATATATGATAAACAAGATCAACAAGGAAAGGCGGCGCTCAATGAACGCAACCCTACATGACCCACAACAAGAACAAGTGGTATAAGAAGCCCAGGCGGACCCCAAACAAAACACAGGACAGGGCACTAGGCATAGCACGGACAGGCTAATCACTAAAACGATAAATAATTTGTAACTGATAAGAGCACGATGTTAAATAATAAGGTAATGCACGAGTTATCTTCATCATATATGGTAAAATCAGCAATTTTCAAGTGATGTTGCTAGTGACAAAACTTTTGTAACAAATGTAACATATATATGTTATGAAAAATGCCGTATGTTGTCCTTCAGTTTTATTTAAAAATATGGGAGAGGCGCCGTTTTATACTTGTCCGCAATAGAAGTTCGTAAATACTCCGAGAGGGGCGGGACGTTATGCTTGACTTAAAATCGTTTAACTTTGTGAATCTACTTTTGTCATTTTAAACATGTTACTGTGTTAACGTACTCTTGATGTTCTACAACTGGAAACACGTTTTCTTAAACTCTATTTTCCGTATTCGAGTTTTACATTTCATTTGTATATTACAGATCTATAAGTGTACAAACATGCGTATGTATTGCATGCAATGGAAGATACGAACTTGTAAATTTGTTGTCGTTTTAGATGTTAGGTCAGTTGTTACGATATATATGTAAACTTGTTATATAAAGGCGGTAACCTTCAATTAAAAGATTGAATTAAGAGGCATACAATAAAAATGGTAGGCATACAAGTTCGCATTTTCAAAAGTCATTTTAAAAAGTAACACTTTACATGTCTGGAATTTTGGCAACGAACGCCCTCCATACGCACCTCTTCATAAATTAAGTTCGCCGAACCGGTAGTTCGACGAAACCACCATAATTAAAAAAATATGACTTGTTTCCCTTATCTTTGAGTAAAATCGTTATCTCTTATGCTAAAACAATACAAATGTAGCCATTTTCAAATCATCAGTTTGGGGCAATTTAATGTTGGTTTTGAATTTATTACACCTATGAAAAGCTTGTGATCTCAGCTTATATTTCAACACATTGTTCAACACTATAGATATTTAAATTTACGGTTAAACCTTCCACAAGTCAGACCATTTTATGTATGTTTTATACAGTTAGAAACGAAACCGATTATCTTTACTCGCGATTCAACTGACAAGAATAGAATGGGGTATTGGCTCCATTTAATTGGGTATTCTAAAACTCAATACCCTATGAATTCAAGATAAATTGGGTATTTAATTATGAAGATATGAATTTTATGGTTTCAATATCAATACAATTTAAACTGTTTTAAAAAGAAAATAGGATTTACAATTTACTAGAACTTTTCACAATTGTTTTATTTTTATATAAAATGCTCATGTTATGTTTCATAATATTTTAACAAGTTCGTTTTCTGACTGATTTTTGATTATTTACCATTGTTTTGTTTCAAATCATTTTCCCTTTTGCACGACGCCATATTGCTTTCAAAGCGTCTATTGATACAGGTGGGACCTACTTATTGACGATTTCCGCAAAATCAACGGTCTCTGCCGGTCTGTAAAGACCGTCGACCTGAGTAGACAAATTGACGGTGTCACGCTTTAATGATATGACTCAGTCGGTCTTTGGAGACCGGGGACCGTCGAAGACCGGAGACCGTTGATTAGTGAGCATTTATCGAAATAATTTGTCCAAAACTACGAGCGTACGATAGATTAATTTTGCGGTGATGAAAATGACAATACGCACGAGTTTTTAAGTATTTTATTTTTTTTAATGGATTTTGATACGCATTCTAAAAAAATCAATTGCGTATTTTATAAAATTTATTGCGTAAATACGCGCCTTATCTGTTGCTCTGGGTTTATTCTTTAAACATTTATTATCCGAATACAGAGTGTGTCCGAGAATGTGCAACTTACTAAAACAGTCTCTACATTCAATTCAAAAAAAAAAGGTAAGTATCTAATATTTATACCATGGCCTCTACTCGTTCAGCTGCTTTTTGCATTTTTGTTTTTCTTCAAATCGACGCACAAAAAATGTAAACTTTAACGACAGTTTAATTTTAAATTTTAATTTCAACTGGCAGGGGAGATAATAAGGTTTTTGTGACAGGACCCAAATGTTCTTTAATTACCGGCAAGGCATCGAAAGATACAAGTTACAATTTTGACAGCCAAAATAATGTCATAAAGTTCTATATTTCTGGTATGTTATGCACATACTCTGTTTATTTAATTGTAATATAACATTTGTTGAATATCAAAATCATCTTTTATATAACTTTTTTGAGTTTTAAACGAAAGATTATTGTACAAGACTTATGGGTATTTAGTAGATAATAACAAAATAAACATGTTAACTCATATATAAAGAGGATATTAAGTTGTTTCTATAAATACAGGATTTATTTTCACCGAGTGGTATACTTCATGAGTGGCGGTAGCCACGTGTGAAATATGATAATTGTCATTCCACAAGAAACTTGAATTTTCTGTTTGTTATATACATTTTTTTCTCTTTTTTGACATTACAATTTGACATACTTTCCCTTATATTTTGTGTATTGGGTGACTTTAGAAGAAAGTAATCCGACAGACACCAGTAAAGATACGAAGAATATGTTTCACTGCAGTGAATAATAAATTTTAACGATGATAATTTGGAAAATAAAAAATACTATCCATCATTTTTTTCTCAGTATCACATTTATTAGTATATAGTTATTATATTGTAGTTTCTGGTCATATATGTATATAGAATACTCTTTGTATGAAGAAAAATATCAGCGTCTGATTATAAAATACAATTCATAATTTATAGATGATGCACCATCTCCTTAATTAGACTGTGCATGTGATTCAATTTTATCCGCATGTCTCAGAAGAATTTATTAATTTATTAATTGTGGACATGTTTAGGTATGAAATATTTTTGATAGTAATTGACTTTTTCATTAATGTAAATAAAAATATTTGTGTACTTAGGACTGAGCAATGCGACAAAAGTAATAACGTGATGATGTTAGATATAAAATACCTGGAAAGGGGATGTGCAACATCTCTCATACCCCTAGCACCGGTTTGTGTGAGATTCAGTCAACAGAAAAACTTTAGGTCCTAAAGACAAGAAAAAATATAACAACAATGAGATAAAGTACAGAACAACTGTCTTCAGTATACACGCAGCACTTGACGAATTTATCTAGCGTCGGTCTGTTGCATAATTCTAGTTTAGATTTAAACCTAAAAAATAGAGATAACCAGAATCATTCACTAAAGAATGCCAAAAACGGCAAAATTGAAAATGTTTCAGACTCGGTTTGATTGATTCTGTTCATAGTCGGTATAGAATTTACAAGCTTCAGTCCACGTCTTCAAGCACCGGCTTAGGCAGAACTTGAATTGATGTCGTATACGTAAAAGCACAGGCACGAGTATCGAACCTGGAAAGAAATAAAAAAAGGGGGTCATTTTTTTACATTTTTTTTTTTGGGGGGGGGGGGGTTACACTTTTAAGATGAACACAGGTTTTTTTATCTATCTGGTCATATTTTACTTCCCAGGTCCGATACTCGTGCCTGTGCGTAAAAGTAATCTGAATAGTTTACAATAACAACAAAATATTGAGAATAACGATCAAGAAGGCAAGGCGACGTTCACAGAACGCAGCTCCCGATTCAATCCAGTTTCCCAAGCAGAACACCAAGAAGGCAACTAGGGTTTAATTTTGTATTCAAATTTTACTGGCTCTTCGGGATCAATGATTCCAGTACTTTCAATGTTGAAGATTGAATATCGCTTGAGCCGGTGCTAGCGGGCGTTTGAGATATTGTACCATTACATTATCTCTCATGAACAGACTCAGACAAACTGAGTTTGCAATTTTCATATGATTTTGTTGTTTTCAGTGCCTTCAAGGGATCTGCTCTTTTTCAGATATTTATACTTCACAACAGCAGATGTAAAGTGTCATGTGGCAGCTGTAAAAAGTTCATTCGTACATTCAATCAGAGATGTAATATTTCCGATTCTTAAAGATCGTTCAGCACGACATTATTGTTGTGTTTGTGGTATTTTAGATCTTACTTTTTTGGCTTTTCTTTTTGGGTGGTTCCAATATTCCTGCTTGAATAATATTGAATCACCTTTACTGGCTCTTCGGGATCAATGATTCCAGTACTTTCAATGTTGAAGATTGAATATCGCTTGAGCCGGTGCTAGCGGGCGTTTGAGATATTGTACCATTACATTATCTCTCATGAACAGACTCAGACAAACTGAGTTTGCAATTTTCATATGATTTTGCAGTGCCTTCAAGGGATCTGCTCTTTTTCAGATATTTATACTTCACAACAGCAGATGTAAAGTGTCATGTGGCAGCTGTAAAAAGTTCATTCGTGCATTCAATCAGAGATGTAATATTTCCGATTCTTAAAGATCGTTCAGCACGACATTATTGTTGTGTTTGTGGTATTTTAGATCTTACTTTTTTGGCTTTTCTTTTTGGGTGGTTCCAATATTCCTGCTTGAATAATATTGAATCACCTTTATGTTATGTTGCTTCCTGTTTTGTCTTTTGACGTCTTATCTATGATATACAAGCTTCATAACCTCTGATCCCATATCAAAATTCCATTTTGTTTAGTTCCGCCCAATGTTTTCTGTTTAGGGCACATGCTTTCTGTTGCCAGGGGACCATGCGTTGCTTTTCATGGAATTGCACTTACGTGTCACATTGAAGGTTCCATGATAACCGCCGTATGAACACATCTGTGGATGTGTCTAAGTTCAAAATTTCACCATTTTCATGTCAAAATGTTGAATTCTGCTTAAGCCGGTGCTAGGGGGCGTGAACAATAGTTTGCACTTTACAGTACTGTCCATGAACAGGTCCAATCAAATGAGCCTGCAACATTTTCAATTTTACCGTTTTGGAGTTTCTTTAAGGATTCATATTTTCTCTATTTTAACCCGTTTTCTGGTTCTTTGGGATCATTGATTTCACTTTTAGTGTTAAAGATTGAAAACCGCTTAGGCCGGTGCTAGTGGGCGTGAGAGATGTTGCATTTTCTCTCATGAACATATTATATTTAACCGAGCATATAAAGTTTCCATATAGTTTTATTGTTTTCTGTGACTCTTTAGGATCTCCCCTTTTCCAGATTTTTAAACTGGGATGTAGTTTAGGCTAAATCCAAAACTAAACAAAGTTTAGTTAAAATCGAAAACGTGGCAAATATTAAACAAACCGAGGGGTCAATTAAGGTTGAGTTTAAGCATAACACTAAGTTCCAAACTCAATAGCTGCAATGTTTTGAAACCAAACCAAAGCATTGACCTGGTAAAAAGCCAAAAACGTGGCTCATTTCGACTGTCATTCCCAATACATTACGAGAGGTGGGAGGGTTGTTGGGAGTTGGGATAACAATGCATACCAATTAAAATAAGAGATTACAGAAGTTCTCTTGCTCAATATCCTCTTTTTGTCAACAAGATATGCATTACGAAGCATACTTTCAATTATACACCCGTCTCGAAACATTCAGTTGTTAATATTTGTATTTACTTACTGTTTAATTTCTATAAGTGATGTCCTACATGCATAATTAATAATGTCTATGTCTATAAATTACACTGTGTTTGGCATACAGAAAAACTATTTCTGCAACTGAATAATTCTTTGACCAACAAATTTGTATTTAGTCGCTCATTTCTATTGTAAGCTGTCATTTATGGAAATACACAATAAACACAGTGAGAAAACTTAAGCATCATCCCTCGGGTTAATGACAGATCACCTCACTTAAATATGATGTATGTTTCAGGACACATCGTTCTATATATCTTAATGGCTCACACCACCTTAAGCCGTGACTATCTATTACCCAAACATTAGACCACGTGATTAAACACCCTGTTAAAGCACACCAGAAATAACTACTGGTTATACATTCCTTCAACGCACATAAATGGTAAAATGTAATTATTTGTGAGGAACATTTGATAGGAGATGTAGAATTAGTTAAAAAAAACAAGCAGTGACCTGAATGGGTGCAATATCTCAACTTTTTGGACGTTTTATTGGACTATATACAAGTCTAAAATTGTGAACATGTATTGGTCTTTATGAAATATATTGACATTGTACTAGCTCTTGCATTGTTGTAACACTGCAGGAACGTGTATTATGTTATCCAGGCCAATAAATAGAAAAGAAATGAGGAAAATAAATAAGCAAATATAAAAAAGTAGAAAATTTTCAATATTAATGAGCGAAAAAAAAACACGAGAAAAAAAACAAACAAAAAACAAACAATGACACAAACTTAACAACAACCAAAAATTCTTAGATAAAGTTTTAGAAAAAAATCGCTATTGAGTGAATTTTGTTTTTGTTCATGAAAAAAAGAAATGTTATACAACACATGCAGACGACTTTGAACAATGAATTAAATCAACATAAAACCGAGTACAAGTATATATGTGATACTAGTTAAGTTGTTTCATTATCTTTATATACTACAATTTACTGATAACAATATCGTTGGGAGAACTTTCAAACATATCAAGGTGCAACAGTTTCTCATTTTAATTATCAATTCAATTTACATTTACTCAGTGCTGATATCTCTGTTTATTAGATAGTACGCGTTGCAGGTGTCGGAATTCTATCTTTTATTAACTACAAAGTAAGTAATTTCAAATACCACTGTGTATATCTAACGGTGTAAGCCATTTATGTGAATTTTAAGTTGGTGCACGAGTTTGAAGCATCTTACTGTAGTCTGGGACCTACGATACTGTACATAACGTCATTCAAAGTCCCAGCTGTAAAAAAATATATTAGATTTTTTGAAATTCTACTTGCTTTTTTCTTAAGCTTTTGTAGGCATAATGACAAATGTATCTCAGTGATCACGGATTTGTATTACATATTATGTAATATAAATCCGTGCAGTGATTTACCGTTTTATCATATAAATTCGAGGAGATTGTTTTATCTATATTAATTACCCAAAAGATAAGACTTAGCGTCTGCAACTTGAGAAAACGCCCCCTTTGGAAACCAAGCGCTTGAAAGATCCAGATCAAAGATTTTCTGTCTTCACAATTGAAGAGTAAATAACGGAAGTAGATGGCTCGGAATAATTTTAGAAATCAACAAATATCCAATATTTTGATGTATTTATCTAATTAGATTTTGCCAAGATGGCAGATTCAGATGATTTTGGGCCCATGGAGTCTGCAGGTATGAAAACATGTTATGTCTGCTAGCAAAATATGCAGAAAAGCTCAAAATGTTTGATGAATTTGTAACTCGAATAATCCAATCCAATTTCCATAAGACTAATAAGTTTAGAAGGCTAGGAATTCCTATGTTTACTTCTTAGAAAATGTATATTAGAGAAGGTTTATGAACAATGCACACGCGATAGTCATACATCTGTAAGCACTTATGATGTGTTTTAAGCCAAGTCAAAGGAATGATTTGTTAATGTTATAAGATATGCAAGATCATGCACAATATTTCAGCACAGACACTCAGACTCAGCCTTTGTTTATTCTCTATGGTAAGCTTAAACATTTTAACAAAAGTGTGACATCTGTTTCAGTCATAAACTTGGTTAAATTCAAGTTCCATGTAAATTAAAAACAACAATTTTGGAGATAAAAAACAACACCCATTTAGTATTTACCATCAAGTCTTAAGTATGTGTGTCAGGGCTCAGAAAGTAAACAATGGCAACGTAAAGACAGGATCTCTACTTATATGTTGGTTGGACAAGAATGGTTTTCTGACTAGGACTCGGCAATCTTTGCTTTATTGAGACTTGATAGTAACGGGTTTTTTTTTTATTTCTTTGGAAATGGTTTTAAAACAAGTTTTGTGATCAAGATGGATGCCACATTGTGATAAAATGTTAAAAAGTTTTAATTACAGTTAACAGGAATAGACCAAACTGGGGGCTGGGTCTTACTCCCAATTGTCTGTGTATTATGTACAGGTCATGTTCAATATAATCATCAGGTGACATATAATGCACTCGGTACTTGATTCACTACCATTTTCTTGTATGCTTCAATAGTGTTTTGTTAGATGTCCTTTAGACAAGAACAAAGTAGGATCCTGCTTAGATCATTAAACTTGTCTGACAATTTTACAGAAATTATCATTTTTTTCAATCTTTTGGTCTGCTACTGAGATTTAATTCTGATGAGAAATTAATTTGGTGGGTGTAAACTGTATTCTAAATCCCGCAGCGCTCTCATAAAGCCTTCATAAATTTGTACCGTGCCCAACTATGGTACTCTGCTAATTTCATTCTTATTTTAATATTGTAAATATGTAAATGTTGTGGCTGCTGTCATAGTCATGTAGAATACTTGGAACCTATACATGCTGTCATAGAAATGAAGTTGAGACCTTCTTTAACATTTTAACAGTGAAACTTTCAGATCCTCTGAATGGTTCAGCCTTTTAAGTGGCCACAAGCCTTGCCCACATTCCTTTTTTCTCCTGGATCATTATAACCCACTTGCATGATACATAGAGTAAGAAAATTAAAATTCTGGAAAGTAGTCTAGATTTTCGAAATTGGGTAAATTCAACAGAGTTATAAATCCAATTTGGCTGGAAGAATTCTTTCCCCAGTACAGAAGTATAATTGTTGTAGTAGAAATTGTCTAAAATGTATCTGTTATGCACAAAAAGAAAATTGATCAGAAAAATTTAGAATTAGTAGTAACATGTATCCTTTGAAATTGCCTACCTGCAATGTGTAGTTATTTTTATATAATTTAATTAAGCTTCATATTTTAGGACATTATAAGATACCATCATTTTGTTGGAAAATGAAATGTAAATTTCCTCTGTAATGGCTATTAAAATTAGATGTTGACTGTATTATCATTCTGTGGACTTGATTGATTTATTTTTGAATTCAGATGATATAGCTGTTTTGAAGTCGAGGGTAGAAGAGCTTGAGGATAGTGAAAGGAAACTTCTGAAACTGAAAGAAGAAAATGAAGCAGACTTTGGACAAAAACGTGCAAGATTCAGAGAACTGTTCATGCAAAAAGAAGGTTTGTTGATGTTGCTTCATTGTTTTAAACATATGTTTCAAGAAAGATCCTGTATGTTGTGATCATAGTGGTAAACCACACAAAGTGAAATTATATAATGTACATAATTATGCAAATAAAACAATTTTCAAACATCGAAGAATATGTAAAATATGTACTGCAAATATTTGTGCATATTATATGTAATCATTACATATATGCATTCATTTCTTATTGTAAAATTTGACTTAAACTTTATAGAAAATAAATTTTTTATTACCTCCCTTTATTTACATGAAATTTTAAATTCTAAATTTAAATTAAAATTTTAAAGTTAATTTCTTTATAAATAATGCTTTTGGAACCTACAATATTGATAAATTTTAATTTAAGCATCATATTTATGATTTAAAACCATAAAAAAGTTATGTTACAGGATCTTTAAGTATGAAAAAGGGCATTTTTTAATGTAGTATGCGATGGTATTTAAGCACTGGAGAAATTTTAACAGCTATTTAATATGAAATTAAGTATGACCCTTTATTATACAAACAGTGAATGTTCATGGTCTTACTAAAAAAAATATTTTTGCATTTTGGTAAAGAGTGAAAAAATTGAAATATTATGAAAACTATTTTTGTATTGCTGTCTTTTGCATATTTCTTTTTTTTTATATTTTGTTTTTTTTTCCAAAGGGATCTTTGAATAGGCGTTAAAATATTTGCTGAGTTGACTAAACAGAGCCCTTTAAATTTTTATCATTAGATTAAAGTTGATGATCTTGTGATTGACAGGGAAGTATGTAGTATTTTTATCAGTGTGTATATTCACGATATCTCTAATCATGAGTGGTCTTTGATAAGTTTAATAAGTTTATCAAGACTGTAATAATGTACATTATTATGTGTATTATTGCTATGATCAAAGTTTTAAGGTAACAAAATATAATTTCAGTATCATGGTTTTCAAATACCCCTACATTTGCTTCTTAACTTAAATGACTTAAATGATCATGGAATATAAGTATAATTATACCCCCACCACAAAATGTGGTGGGGCTATAATGGATTCGCTTTATCGCGTCCATCCGTACGCCCGTCTCCATTATCTTGTCTGCTCTATAAATCCTATACCAATTGAAGGATTTTCTTCATACTTGGCTCAAATGTTCACCTTAACAAGGAGATGTGCAGAACCTATGTTGCTAATGTGTCAGCTCAAGGTCAAGGTCACATTTGAAGGTCAAATATCAAACAATCAAATATTAGACAGTATGTCGTGTCCGCTCTGTAAGTCCTACACTAATTGAAAGATTTCTTTCAAACTAGGCTCAAATGTTCACCTCAACAAGGGGATGTGCAGAACCCATGTTGCCCATGTGTCATATCAAGGTCAAGGTCACAATTGAAGGTCAAATATCAAATATGAGACAGTATGTCGTGTCCGCTCTGTAAGTCCTACACTAATTGAAAGATTTTCTTCAAACTTGGCTCAAATGTTCACTTAAACAAGGGGATGTGCAGAACTCATGTTGCCCATGTGTAAGCTCAAGGTCAAGGTCACAATTGAAGGTCAAATATCAAACAATCAAATATTACAGAGTATGTCGTGTCCGCTCTGTAAGTCCTACACTAATTGAAATACTTTCTTCAATCTTGGCTCAAATGTTCACCTCAACAAGGGGATGTGCAGAACCCATGTTGCCCTTTTGCCGGTTTAAGGTCAAGGTCACACTTGAAGGTCAAAAATTGACTCAGAAAATATTCTAAAATTTTAACATGTATTTGAATATTTCTGAAACTATAAAAGATATTTGCTTGAAACTTAAAATGTACATGAAGTGTCACAATTTAGATATGCAGGTCAAGTTTCATAGCTCTGTATTGCATTTTGACAAAGTTATGCCCCTTTTTAAGTCTTCAAATTTACATACAATCAAATATTAGACAATATGTCGTGTCCGCTCTATAAATCCTGTACTAATGGAAGAATTTTCTTCAAACTTTACTCAAATGTTCACCTCAACAAGGTTATGTGCAGAACCCATGTTACCTTTGTGCCGGCTTAAGGTCAAGGTCACACTTGAAGGTCAAAAATTGACTTAGAAAATGTTCTTAAATTTTAACATGTATTTGAATATTTCTGAAACTAGCACAGGTATTTGCTTGAAACTTTAAAGATATATGAGGTGTCACAAGTAAGATATGCAGGTCAAGATTCATAACTCTGTATTGCATTTTGACAAAGTAATGCCCCCTTTTAAGTTTTTAAATTTGCATACAATCAATACTTAGACAATATTGTGTCCGCTCTATAAATTCTATACTAATGGAAGGATTTTCTTCAAACTTGACTCAAATGTTCACCCCAACTGGGCAATGAGCAGAACCCATCTTACCCTTGTGCCAGCTTAAGGTCAAGGCCACACTTGAAGGTCAAAAATGTTCTGAAATTTTAACACGTACTTGAATATTTCTAAAACTAGAACAGATAATCATTTGAAACTTACACAAAGTGTCGCAAGTAAGATATGCAGGTCAAGTTTCAACTAAAAAAAGTGGGGGGGGGGGGATAACTTTGTATTGTATTTTGACAAAGTTAAGTCCATTTTTATGTCTTTAAATTTATTTACTATAATATTTCTTAAACCAGAACAGATATTTACTTGAAACTTAAAATTTATATAAATGGTTACAAGCAAGCTCAGATGACGAAAAATTATGCAATTCCATTGAATTATGACACAAGTTATGCCCCTTTTAGGCTTAGAAAATGTTCTGTCAAGGACATTGGTAGGGGTATGAATTGCATTTGCAGCGATAGTTGTAGTTTATATTGCTGAGAAAGCATGTGTTATTTGCCATGATTGTACCTTCCAAGCTCAAAATGAAATATATACATGACGTAAACATAAAACAATTTTATTGCTGATATACAGTAGAACTTCGGTAAGTCGAAGTTGGAGGGACTTGTGTAAAAACTTCGACACATCGGGACTTCGACTCATGAATCGGTCTGAATTTCATGACCAAATTTCAACCCGTGACTAGCCCTATTTATAAGATCTATAACGCAACTTATTTCATGTTTTTCTTTCATTTATTAATCTGATATTTTACATTATAGAATGATAAATATGACACGCTAAGTAATTTTCCACGGCTAAATTGATTTACGTACACAATAAAGTTACAAAGGCGTAACAATACGAAAGGGCAATAACTAAACCAGCTTTTAGTAATTATTTTGCGTGTGATTATCACGCGACACCGGATCACGGAAGTACTCAAATGATAGTTCTTACTGTTAAATACCGCTAATGCAATTAAAATAGTAACGATTAAAGCATTTTTTTCACACATTTAAACGCATACAAAGGCTGTTTGAACAATCGGCTGTGTAATTAACACCTGTCACTAAAGTTGATCGGAAATCGTCTTCACGGCCAGAAAAGGTGTGAAAAATGTCTCGAGGTCGAAGGTGTCGAAATAATCGAAGTACTTCGGCTTATTTGTGGTAAATTGTTCTAGATTTATTCAATACGGACCACGAAAAAACTTCGACACATCGAAAAATTCGACACATAAAATCTCGACTCATAAGCAGGTTTTTTATAAGGAATATATAAGGAAAAAAATCGGGACTTTCATTTTACTTCGACACATCGAGAAAATCGACTAATCGAAGTTCGACTCATAGAAGTTCTACTGTACTTTGAAAACAAAAACCAAAATAAATAAACCCAACAAAAATAAACACAAAAAAAGCGGAAATAGAAACAAAAATGTAATCCATTCATGTAATGCCATTTATCAAATTTGACAATATACTGCTCAGTGTTAATATATCGCAATTGTTTTTTCATTACATCAATGTTGTATATCAGTTGAACAGCTGTTATCTATAATTAATTGAGATCTGTTTACATAATCAACATCATAAATTTTCAGGCAAAAAATCTTCAGTGAATGCTGTACTGTAAATGTAGAACATAAAATATATTGTGGCATACACTGAATGAAATGTACAAACAGCAATGACTATGAAGATGTGTTTACTGCAGATAATTGGTGTATGTTGTAAAACAGTAATCATGCATACCAGCATATAATTTTATAGAGTCTGATTCAGATTCCAGAGTACTCACTGTTTTGACTAATTCAGATTTTGACCTAGGAAAGAAAGAATTTTTCTTTGTTTTGGAATATTAAAGCAATATACATGTATGTAAGACGCAACTTAAAGTTAAACAAAAACTGCATTATACTAAAGAGAATGGGAGGACAGCCTATTATGCCTATATGTAAGAAACTCATAATAGGAAGTGATCAGAGTTGCTGTACTGTAAATGTAGAACATAAAATATATTGTGGCATACACTGAATGAAATGTACAAACAGCAATGACTATGAAGATGTGTTTACTTCAGATATTTGGTGTATGTTGTAAAACAGTAATCATGCATACCAGCATATAATTTTGTAGAGTCTGATTCAGATTCCAGAGTACTCACTGTTTTGACTAATTCAGATTTTGATCTAGGAAAGAAAGAATTTTTCTTTGTTTTTGATATATTAAAGCAATATACATGTATGTAAGACGTAACTTAAAGTTAAAAAAAGAAAACTGCATGATACTAAAGAGAATGGGAGGACAGCCTATTATGCCTATATGTAAGAAACTCATAATAGGAAGTGATCAGAGTTGTGAGTCATCATGTATATACTATATATACAATATACATGTATACTATACATATATAAATGATTATTACTCATAATGATTATGATTTTTTTAACCCTTAACCTCCTGGGAACTTAAAGTGACCAGCCTTTGCTATCATTATAGTCAGGTCAGTTTGACATGATTGCAATCTGACAAAACTGTACTGTTGATAGCTATATTATTGGGTTTTGATGTTAAGATCCCTTAAATTTCAAGTAGATCAATCAAGTAGGCTAATCAATTTCTCAAATTCATCAGGTTAAAGGTCGATATATATAAATGAAAACTTGTGTTTTATTTTTCAGCTGAACTAAAAGCTGATAAAGACAGAGTGACAAAACTGGAACAAGAGTTAAAAGAGACAAAGTCCGAGCTGGAAGATATCAAGACAGCAGTGGCTGTGTCGGAGGCAAATAAAGAGGAGGAGATAGCTAAAGTACGCAGACAGTGTGAGCAGGAGATACAGACAATGCAGGCATTGTTGAAAGGTAATCAAAGATGACATTTCAGCCATTGAAGTCTTTCACAGATACATTTAAAGGCCCATTATGCCTCAGAATGCCTTAACTACTTTAGTTCTTGTAGAAATATTTGCAGACTACCAGGATAATATAGATCAGTGTACTGTTTGACACGCGTCTCTGTTTGTGTCTAAGTTTTTTCTGCTTTGATCTTCATATATGTATTTCTATAATTGACAGTGGACTATTCATAATACATTATGCCATATATTATTTAGAATGAGTAAAAATCTTTCAGCAAGTTAAGATATTAATTAAATGGAATGATGGTGTAGTATTTAAGTACATGAACTCTGTCGTACTCGTACATCTAAGGGAATTAATGGTTTTGAACTTTGCTTTGGGCACAGACTTTTTTCCTCACATGACACTAGTGCTGGAAGTAGAGGCAAGAGTGCTTCTAAAAATACTCAAACCTTTCATCATAATCAAGCAAGATTAAATATTTATTAATTTAATATTTTTTTTTTTTTGCCATTTCAAACAGAGGCTGCAGAAGAGGCATCCAGCTCGACTGCGGCACAATATGAATCAGAGAGAGCCAAACTAAAGGAGCTGAATGAAAATTATGAGGAGGAAATACAGTCGATACGCAGTCGACTGTCACAAGAAAGACAGCTTGACAAGGGGTAATTATACTTGTTATTAATTTCTGTAAAAAAATGTTACTCTGTACTACCATAATTTTTTTCAATTTATTGGTTTATAATTGTAGACTCTTTGCTATTGATTGTACAACAACATATCTTGTGTCCAGTTTGAACACAGTAGACTGTCTTAATCAGATGTGTTTGTGCTTCTAGTACATTTTATGGTTTCAAAATAAAATTGTGTTATTAAAAATCCTGTTAGTAAGTTAAAAGATAGTGTCATAAATATTTTGTCCTTTTATACATTGCTGATGAAGGAAGATAAAGAAATTAAGGCACTGAAGTTAAGTACTTCCTAAGAATATTTAAAGTTGTAGTTGAATCCTACTTATATAAGTAAATTTCCTTGACAGAACAGAAAACTGTATACAATTCTTGGTAGAAGACCCCAAATAAGTTTAAATTACCAAGAAGATGAAATATTGAGTATGGTAACCATGTGTTGTGTACTATTTATAGACCATGAAATATTGGAAATACAGTACAACCTATGCAGAGTGGCCCTCTGTAGAACAACAGTTTCAGTTCTTACCAAAGTTAAGACTTTACAATAAATTAAATATTTCAAGAACAATACATAATGTACCTTTCAGCAACAACTAAAAATTTTTGTCTCCTTAAAGCTGTTACTCATTGGTTATATTGTATATATAAATTTTGTATGTCCTGTCTGTAATTAAGTTTTAAAGCCAATAAATTTTAGCATAAGACCAATATTAGCCAGTTAGGACAAACTAGGCTAATAATGCAATGAAAGCAAAAAAAAAAAGGAGAAAAAGCAACAATAAGAAAAACAACTAAAAAGCAACAACAACAGAGTTATGTAAACTAAGTTAGAGTTTCCAGTCAATATGACTGTCCTTGGCCTATTAGCAAAAACCAATATGAATATAATGTAATTATACAATACAATACAATATATAACATTATGATGTTATATTTGTTCACAGGAAAGGTTTCCTATCATCAGTGGCAGACATAGTTTCTAGAGGGACGGCATCATTGAATCCAGCTAGTTCTGATTCTAATACAGAAGCTGAATCTCTAGAGGAGGATATGAGAAAAGTATGTACATAAGTGGTAGCATTGTAATAATTAATGGCAAGAAAATGCATACATAATAAAAATGTGTCTTTGTAGGTAAAACCAGTGGCAGTGTATAGTAAAATACTAGATGGTATATGCAATAAAACAATTATATTGAAAAGGGTCTTTGAATTCCTTCTTGTGAAGAAGCTAGCTTACAGGGTGTCCATTATTTTACACTGATGCTATAGAAAGTTCAGGTGATAGGAGATAGACAAGTAGTTGCACATAACATGTCCAGAAAATGAGAAACGTGACCATTATAATAATCATTTCCATAAAATTGGAATGAAATATATTTCTAGTGTTTCTTTAGTTCATTATTTTTTCATTCATTTATTTATTTATTCATTTATTTATTTTTCACAGGCACAACAAGATGCTGAGATATTGAAATCTGTTGTTTTACCATTGGAGCAAGAAATTGAAAGTTTAAAACAGAAACTGAGAAAACAGACAGACAATGTTAGGTCTTTAGAGAAACAGAAACTGCAGGTAGATAGATTTTATCATTCATATTATGCAATGTTTTATTGTAATTGCCATTTTGCCTATCACTTTGACTGTATAGGGGCTACTAAATTTAGCTGGTTAAGGTAGCTGACATAGAACCCGTTTATTCTGTATTGCTGTTAATAAGAGTTAAGGGGACTCTGTGGCCATGTGGTTAATGTTGTTGGCTTCAAATCACTTGCCCCTCACCACTGTGGGTTTGAATCCTACCAGGGACTTCAGATTCTTTGTAAGGAAGCAATCCAGCTAGCTTACAGAACGTCAGTGGTTCTACTCAGATGCCTGTTTGTGCCTGAGATAATGGGGCGTCTGAGGTCTTCCTCCAGCAGTGTAGCTTGAAAGTCACCACATTTACTTTTAACTGTGATTGGTGTGATGTAAAACCAAAAGAAAAAATTTAGATATTGATTATAGTATGTAGACTCAAACACTTTGAAGAAAATTCAAAATGACTTACTTCTAAGTGAGGTATATTCTTACTTGATTAAAGAGCATGCAAATTTCTATATATTTTCAAAGTGTAGCATTTTTTCTAAAAAGGTATTGTGTTTATTCTGATAATAAAAAATGAACAAGAAGTAAAACAGGGTATTTTAGCACAATTTGCAACAATTGAAGTAGAATACGATTTTTCTTTGGTTATGAACTCAAAACATAAATATTGTGATATTTCAAGTCATCATGCACATGTATAAATATTTTTGAGTACAGTCACTTTGTTATGAAATGTAAAATTATATCACCCGGATAAAATCCTGTTTTATAAAAGGCATACAATACGAATATATTCTTCTTCAATCACTGATACAAGATCAAATATTTTACAGTTACAGGAGAAACTTGTATCATTGCCGAATGAATTACCGAGTCCGACCAAAACTACATCACTGCCTTCCTTGGATGATATAAAAGATCCTGAGGAAAAGGTATGATCCTGTGAAATTTTATGTTTTGACAATAAAACACAAGTGCTGAAAGAGTAGAGTAAATAACATATCTAAGATTTCTATATTTCTCCTAAAACTGATTTAAGTGAATCATGAAACATGCATTTGATATTTTGTCTGTTTAGGCAGTAAGTGTTCATTTCTTTTTCATGCAAATTACATTCAACTTTTTCATGCAAATAATATACAACTTAAGCTCTAAAGGAATGTCAAAAATCAATATTATAACCCTTCATGTGCTGGAGCTGAAAGTAATTAGTGTTTGTCACCATTAAATAACCTGGCCTTGTAGTGTGACCAGGTACTGTACTGTTGACTGACTGACTGTAAATTTTTATGTTGATATCCCTAAAATTGATAAATTGACAGTTCTAAAAATTGGAAGCTGGGCAAGTCAATTTAATGAATTCAGTAGGTTAGTATTCTTTTGACTGTTTTAAGTGTTGATATATCCACAAAATAAATTTTTAAAAAAACCATCAAATGCATAAAAAAATCCAGATTAATACAAATTCTCTAGTAAATACAAAATAGATTTAAAAAATGAAAAAGGAAAAGAAGACAAAGAAAACAGAATAGAAAAATGTCCTCTATGGGTGTGTTGTTTATTTATTCCACCAGATACAGCAGTTGATGAAGTATTTAAAGGCTGAGAAAGCATCTAGAACAGATCTGGAGATGTATGTAGCTGTTCTTAGTACACAGAAAAATGTTCTACAAGATGACAATGATAAAACAAGAAATGAGCTGAAAGAAGGTAAGGCTTGCTTTATGTTTTGTATTTGAAGGTTTAAATTGATTGTCTTAATTATATTTATGTTTGCTAAATTGTATTGTGTGTTCTAGTAAGTATATGTCCAAAAACATCATAGAAAATAAGCATTCAGGCTTTCATAGGCAGTCTGAGGTTCTTGAACACTACATTATACATACATTTGGTTACATAATTAAATGTTTCATACGTCTTTAATATTGGGATAAATTTTTACTGCTTTAAATTTGTAAAGCTCCATTCAGAATAGAATAGCCAGCCCACATAGCTCATTGGGTTAGAGCGTGAGACTTGTAGTGTCAACATTTTGGGTTCAATTCCCGGGCTTGCTAACAAAATCTTTTGGTTTGGATGAGACTTTAAATTGAGGTGTCATGTTTGAGTGCATAAACACTTGGCACACTAGAGAACCAGGAAAAGCTTCTGCAATCAGGGCATCTTTATGTATTAGTATCTTGCACTAACCTCCAAAAATCTAAAATTACTAATACTCTTCTATAGGACTTGCCCATATGGGTAACTGGCGGCAAGTATAAATAAAACTTAAATACACTCATAGAATAGAACTTTCACTTATTTACTGTATATATGTTACAGTATGTACTATACTGGATGAAGAGAAGAGGTCACATAACCAGTTGAAGGAGACATGGACGATGGCCAACGATCAGTTCCTCGAATCTCAAAGACTTATGATGATGGACATGAGAAGAATGGAAAGTTTGCTGTCAGCAGAACAACAGAGATTACTAGCAGGTAGATAGTCTATGTTGATTGATGAAATACTAGACTTTATCTGTGAGATGTGATTTTTATAAAATGACTATATTTCATATATTTGGAAAATTGTTATTTTGAAGAAAAAATGCATGGTGCAATAAACTCGGGTTATAATGATATTGAGGGGACCATAAAATTTATAACTTTGTATATGAGAGGCAACCAATATGAAAACAAGTCTGGGACTGCAGCAAAAAATTCATTATAAGTGTTATATTGTTATAAGCGATATTGTTATAAGTGGAGTTTACTGTAGTACTAGTAAGTACAAATGTAGGTGAAAATTTTACTTTCACATGAGATGACAACTCTTTGACATTTTTATAATGTGTAAAAAAAAGGTTGTAAATGAAAGTTATATGAATATCTTATTTGTTAGTGAGATATATCTAATATTCAAATATTAACTCACATAGAACAATGTATATATCTTGAACTACAGTAAGTGATGAGGGGTAAGTGCATATAAATTTGCTTTTGTTCATCTTGTCCTGCTGTTGCACAGTCCATCCATAGACTGGCAAAACATTGGAATGAGTAGGAATCAATGCCCTATTGGCACATTTCTAGGTTTTTCAAATTTAAACTTATAAGCATGATGTTATGAGTAAGAATCATTGTATTATATTCAATAGAACAACAGAAGAAAGATCTGGAGAGAGAGGCTCAACAGAAGAAGGTGAAAGATTTGGAAGAATTGAGATTAAAACAAGAGAAAGAACAAGAGCTTCTAAAGAATACAGGTCTGTGTGTTACCCAACCTTTAGTCATTGAGATAGACTTTAGATCTTTTCTTTTTCCAACAATGAACTGGTATAGTTACTTTAGTACTTAGTGTTGCTTCATCTTTAGCTTCACTATTTGAAAATAGAGGGAGCTACTTAGCAGGTCCTCTGCTTCACAAATGGTTAAGTTTTTGTGTGCAAGTTATTGGTATCTCCAAAAACTACTGAAGGGAATGGATAGAAACTTCATACGTTAATTTGAGAACATTATAATAGGTCCTGTCCAAGGCTCGTAACTCTCACATGCATTTTGAATAAATTATGGTCCTTTTTTAAATTACAAAATTCTTCATTATCCAGGCTCTTGTTTTACTATCAAGCACTGAGAATAGTCGAGCATGTTGTCCTACCCACAAACAGCTCTTGTTTTCCTCTTAAAATGTTTATATCATATTTTAAGGTCATGCAAAGTTTAAACAAATTCTATTACACAGTTTCCATTCTGCTATATGTATATATGCAACCCTATTATATGCCTTTAGTTCTAATTTGGTTGAATGAAAAAGTGTTACTTGCTTTTCAGAAGGGGCTAAACAGGTTGAAGAAAGTACAAAAGTAAGTATTTGTTAACATATTACAAACATAGAGCAGTTATAACATAGGCAAGCAGGACTGTTTGCCGACTTTGAAAATTACCATATAAATTACCTTTATTGAAGTCTTAGTTAGTATTGTGACAAATGATTAAATAACTACACCATTTACACCTTAATTTTACTTCTTGCCAAAAACTAAGCCATTTGATAATGTTTTAGCACATTTTCTACTTAACCGCCTTTATTTACAAATTTAGAAATGAAGTTAAAGAAGATTTCTTTTTCCTTTCATTTTTGCAGAAATTGAAGAAAAAAGAGCTAAGACTTTCAGACAGATTATTCAGTGACAAAAGTGCGTCAAATACTTCGATAAATTCTGTTGGATCTATAGACTCGTTGAACTTTGACGACAGTCTCGCTGAAACGTCGTTAAAAAAATCTCTCTCGAATTCTGAGATAAACTCTTTATCAGAGCAGGAATTCCTGGATAGTGGATTACACGAGACTCAATCGTTGAGCGAGGTGGATAATTTAACTATAAGGATTTCTCCGGAGAAAGTGATAAATTTACCTTCCCTCACTGATGCACAAGTCAGAGCTATAACAGGTTGGATTTTAAAACGAGTTTTATTTTTATTTTTATTGTTAACATAGATTGACTCTTTACCCTATTGCTACATGTTTTAGTGTGCATGCAACCAGTGCAGATCCAGATTAGCCTGCACATCCATGCAGTCTGACCAGGATCTGCACTGGTTGCTTTTATATTCATGAAAATATTTCTGACTGAAAAGCCTGTACTGGTTGCATACGGGTAAAAACATGTATCTATGGAGAAAAGGGTTAAATGGTGGTCTATGGAGTAAAGGGTTAAATGGTGGTCTACACTGTTTAGATATACTCAGCCCTTCAATTATTTTTTTGCACTTACTCACATGTGTATTTTACTTTATCCAGCATAGGCGTTGAGAGATCAGAGAATCTCCTGTAACTCACTCAAAGTCTTGACACCCAGCATTCATTGTCCAGAATGACAGAATAAATGTGATTTGTGATAACTTTATCAAGTCTTTCTTTCAGCGAATTCAATGTTTATGCACTTACATCAGTACTGTATCTGGTAAACTATTCCATTCTTCCACATCTCCCATGATAAACTATTCCATTCTTCCACATCTCCCATGATAAACTATTCCATTCTTCCACATCTCCCATTGAGAAAAATTGTTGACAAATTCTGTTTTGGATGATTATTACATAAATTCAGCTAAGAATTGGTTAAAGTATATAGATGTTATTTGCAGCTCCTACTCCAGAAAATGAGGCGAGAAAAAGTTTAATAGCCAGTGCCAAATCTAAAACAGATAGTATATCACTGCAAGGCAAACGTTTAGTTAGTGATAAAGAATGGCGACTAATGCAAGAACAGGTAAATATATTATTTCTTCTTTTCTGTATTTTGTGTTTTCATATGAATAAACAATAAGTGCTAGTGTGAATGGATAGGAATTTTTAATTTTTCCCTTTTTGTTTTTGGAAAAAAATAAGGGGTTTTTCAGGGGTTAAATTTTGTTGAGCAAAGGAGAAGCAATTGTTCTAATGTCTCTTGATGCTAAGAAAGGGGTGAAAAAATTTTTAAGTACAATTTTTTATTTACCTGTCTGATTTGAAACATTAGCAATGTTTTTAGAATAAAAATGCTCCGAAAACTGTTTGTTTAACATCGTTTTGGCAATGCTCAAAAATTTAAATTACGACAAGTTCTGATATACAGAATCGGTCAAGAATGGTTTAATTTACTTGGTGTTTAAGAAAATTTTCTATTTTTAGCTGCGAGCAGCTCGTGAAAAGCTTGGCAGGCCGTGTGATATGTGCAATAATTACGAAGCTCAACTACAAGGTGTGCAAGATGAACTGAAGGAAGAGCGAGCCAAACTACGGTCCTGTGAACGCGAGTCAAATGCGGAAAAACAGACCATAAACAGTCAGAAAAATTATATAACTGAGCTGGAAGAAAAATTAAAAGACGCTGCTTCAGATACAGATGAACAGGTCAGCAAATAATGTATTATATAAACCTTATTAAACTTCTTTATAACATAACATATATTTTATTAGTCTTAAGCACATTAACAGCTCATCGACATTTACATATAATATGACACGTATTTGTAGCATGCTTAATATTTATTATCATATTTACAGAAATAGACAGAAAAACACATACATTATACACAAAACACAACAGCTACACACAATAATAAACAGTGAGAATTCATATACCTTTAATATCATAATACAATTTATCACATCGCTTTTGTGACTTCATGAAAAATGGTATTGCACAAATGGCATGAATTTTGACGTGACATCATTTGTGTTATAAATTGTAAAATTGCGCTAAATGTTAGCGTTTCTCTATAGGCGCATGAATGAAAAAATGGTTCTTTTTCACTTTTTACCAAATTAATTGAACTCATTGAATAAAATTATATTATGGTCACCAGAGGCTCGCATAATATAATTTTATTCAACTCGTTCAATAAATTCAGTATTATACTTACACTCATTCAATATCCTCTACATGTATGTGTATATAATGTATATAGTAGAAAATAAGCATATTATCATTTTAATAGTATATGATATTCAGATAATTTTAAAGGCCATATTAGATATAGGAAATAATAGATAAATTCTCTCTGTTTTTGTACAACAGATTGGAAGTTTAGTGAACAAAGTGAAGGAATGTGAGAAATATATGTCAGAACTGAGGCAGCAACATAATTCCGCGCAGGTAGAACTTCAAGAAAGTTTGGTAAGTTTGTTGAATGTTCCATTCTGGGTTAAGTAAAAATAAATAAAGAAAAATGTGCTAGTTTCATCTGAATGGTCATAAAAATTAGTAAGGACACCAAAATTGAATTGAAATTAAGTGAATATACATCAATATAGTAAAATATGGTACTGTATTGTTTTGTACCATTACTTCAAAAGTCACTTAAAAATTTCCCGTTATTTCTGTAGAGGTTTTGTGTTAAAAATAACAATAATGTAAATCTTATTGATGTACAAGTTCATAACACAGTACTCATATTGAAGTATGAATAATGGTGGTGTTTGTCTATTTCAGAGAAGTCTTTCATCAGAAAGGACAGAGGTCCAAAAAGAGGTAAGTCTACATTACTTGTGAACAGTAAACATGAGATATTTTTCAAGCAGTCAGTAATCATTGATCATTTATTTTCACTCAATATTTTTACATGTAGGTAATGACTGTAGGAAACCATATGAGACATTTTCCTTGAAAAATTCTAACTATCTTTTCAGTGGCATTAAAAAAGTAGTTTTAATGCTGTGAGATCCCAGGCAAGGCGGACTTAAAGGAATCTAAATACACAAATTTTAAAACTGTTTTTCATACAATTTTAGATGTTTAATGTTAACTATCTTAATGTTAACCCCCCCCCCCCCCCCACACACACACACAGCACACATCCTATTGGTATCAATTGTATTCAAGTCCAGGAGCAATTATTCAGCTGGTCAGTGCCAAGATGGTGGTTCTAAATGATTGCTTGGTTAGGTACTTGCTTGTGACTTAAATAGTGTAAGAAAGGGCATTTAAGGTCTTCCTCCACCAGTAAAGCTAGTAAGTTGCCATATGACTTACCATATAGGGTGTTGGTGTGGCTTAAAATCCAACAATACAAACAATCATCTACATGATTGCTCACCTGGGTCTGAAGTTAATGCAGGAAGGTATACCTGAAGTTATTCAAATCGAGTATTACTTCAGGCACTAAGAAATGTCAAACATGGACACTAATGGAAAAATCTTGTGTTAATATTCCAGCTTGTAAGATTCAGTTACTATGCACGGTGTTGAATTCTTGTCAAGGAAATCTTGTGTTAATATATTCCAGCTTGTAAGATTACAAGAAGAGAACGATTCTCTACAAGGCAAACATTCCAAACATGCAGGGCAACTGCAAAATGAAGATATCAATCTACCAAACAATCTAGACGTAAGTTGCTTCATTTTGACCTTTTACTATGGTTATTTTGCCAATTTCTTAAGTGATGGTGATTAAAAGTAAACAACATTCTTCTTTTTGTGTCGCCCCTACTGAGTAGTGGCGACATATAGGGATCACTTCTCCGCCGTCTGTCCGTCCGTCCGTCACAAAACTTGTCCGGACTACTACTCATAAACTACTGGTGCAATTTCATCCAATCTTTACAGGAATGATCAGTACCAAGTCTAGTTGTGCACTGTTCGTCTGTCTGTCCATCTGTCACAAAACTTGTCCCAACATGAAATCGGCCATCATGAGGCGACACATATGATCACTGATCGCTCTTGTTTGTTTTGATGGTTTATTGACAAGAATTGGGCAATCCTGTAATCTACATTTAGCTCACCAAAGCATGTAGTGTTAGGGGTGAGATGTTTATATTGACCTTTGCCCAATGCTTTAAGTAATGTGGTTTTTAGATAAATATGTCATAAATTTATGCTGTCTTCAAACACTTTTGATGACTTTAATAAAAAATAAATAGGTCACAGGGACAAATATTTTGGAATAACCTTCATTATAAATCTAAATTTGTTTATTGAAAGATAATCTTTTTATATCTGATTTATAAATATCTTCTGTTTTTCTTTGAAGGATATTAACTTATATTGTATTATAAAAGATATTTGTCTATTTAAGGATATGCAATTACTGCTGCTAAAGTATAGAGAAGAAATCATTCAAGCTAAGGTTGCAAAAGAGCACACAGAGGAGTCTCTGAAGAGCCAGATAATGTTCCTCAAAGATCAGGTTGTATCTGAGCAACAGGAGAAGTCCACGATGGAGGAAACCCTCACACAAGAGATCAATTCACTACAAGAAAGATTAGGTTAGTTTGTTATCTAAGCATTTGAAGTGTATTTTTTTGACAGATAGCTATGGGAAAAGGAGACAAACTTTAGAAATGTTGGTTTGACTTGTGCATAACACGTCATAAAATTGCTTTAAAGTCTAAATTCTTTGAAATCTTTTTTTTTGTTGGAGCATATATTCATTAGCTTTTCCTTTTGTCCATCATTTGTGACACATAGTGCAGTGTTACCTTTTGATCTACTGACTAAAATGTTTGGTTTTGGTGTAAAGGAATCTTTAATTGACTTCAACCCTTTTCATGGTGTTTCAGGTTGGAAGTTTAGATAATAAAAAATAAGTAGTTAACTGCAAATTCTTAAAATTCCCATTAATATAACGTTTTGGGTGAACAGCCATCTTCTTTAGAGTACATAAGTAAATAATAAGTTTATAACATCTAGACTAAAGATAGGATTTCATACTTTCCTAATTGATAGTTTCTTAGTCTAAACAGAACTTAAACTGCAAAGCCTTTGCAATGAGTTTAGACCCAGGCTAGTTTGCTAAACTGGCATTTGTACAGTCTAACCTGACTCTGCACATTTACTTTGTACAGATTCCAAATTTTATTGTGATATCCCTAAAATTGATAATGGACTATTAAATTCTAGTCATATTTTTGGCAGCTTATGGTCAAAGCATTGTATCAATATCAAGCATTGTATTTTATTGACAAATTATTTTTCAGCTATACAAGACAGTATAAAGTCTGAGTTTGATAGAGAGGCTGCAGTGCGGGCGCAGGCCGAGGCCAAGCTACGTGAGATGGACAAAGCATTAAAAAGTCAGCAGGCACAAGCCAAGCAGCTGATTGGTGGTTTAAAGAAACAATTAGAGGAGCAGTCCAATGCAAGGGTATGTCATATTTCACAAAGATTTTACAAATGGATCAGTCCTGTAGCAGCTTGTCTTAAGATAGACAGAAAAATTTGAGGGCATTGCTGACATAGTGGTTAAGACTTTTAATAATTTGCCCCTTACCACTGTGAGTTCAAATCCAGGCATTACCCTTGGTTTTTATAGTGAAGTTAACATGCTGTCATATGACTACATGTTAGTTCTTCTCAAGTGCCTGCATGTGCCTGACAAAAATGCACAGAGTAACTACTTCTCATAGCCTGAAAGCTGTAGAGTTATCACAGTTCTTTAATACTGAACCTTAATGGGAGTCAGAAATAACCTTTAGATATTTGAAAGATATCAAAGTTGAGATAAAAAATGTAAAATGATACGCATGTTAAGATGTTTTATTTTTATTATTATTCAATGTTTTAATATAAAAATTCCTTTAGTTCTGAGCTACATGCATCTTTCAGCTTATAGCTAAAAACATTTTCTTGTTTTCTTGTGCATAATGTTTTTATTTAAAAATGAGTTTTTAAGGAATAAAAATGTGTGTGTTTTTTGGGTTTTTTTTGTTTTTTTTTGAAAACTCATAGAGTAGTTATGGGAAGTCAACCTTAATATGAAAAAGAAAAATTAATGGACAATTATAAGAATGCTTAGGTAAAATTCTTATTTGAGTTTTCAGAGGAGAAAAAAGTTGGAAATGTTTAACAGTTCAATGATGAAAATTACATGTGAAAATGCTATGTTTTCAGATACAACTGGAAAACGAAGTTCATTCACAGAAAGTAAAAACACAGTCATTACAAACAGAGCTTGATAATAGTGAAATTGTACAAAGAGATTTTGTAAAGCTTTCACAGTCACTTCAGGTAACTTTGTTCTGTGAGATATAATCCATATCATTCTGTGAGATATAATCAATAACATTCACTGTACATCAAAAATCATGTATCACTCATAGAATATCATTTGGTGACTCACTCATTTTCTCTTTTGTTTCATTGTATTTAACCCACTGAATATCACCCACTATTTAGTGCCCACTTTAAAAATTTAGTGTGATCACAGAGCTATATTCAAATGGAGAGGAAGCTTTGGCATCATACACTTAAAATCTGTATCAGGGATTAATTGTCCTGCAAGTTCCTGTTTTTGCAAGATTTTCCGAGACCATGTTTGATACTAGAAAATTTATCAATATGTATGCCACCATATTATCCAAAATTTGTTATGTTTATCAAAAGAAGTAACAAAAGTTGCCAAAATGTTATAAAGACAATAAAGACTAAGAATATGTAAAGTATTCTCAGTAATGGATGAAAATGTCAATATATTTGGTTACATTAAACAAGATAGCGGAAATTGATCATTTCCAAGAGCCAATGAATCTCATGCAAGGGATTGTGGGTCAGGATTGGAAAATATTCTATATTTAGAGCTTCTTATCCCTCTGTAATATAATGCTCTGATTTGATCATCAAATAAAATTAAATGAGAAAAATAAAGTCTTATGGAGATGCAGCCTGATTACTTACATAATATGAATATATGTGTGTGTCTAAAGCTAAATAATAGGTGGCATTTGGGTTTTCCCTATCAAGTTTAAAATGGGTGTTAAACTGGTTTAGTAATAAATCATGTCTACTTAATAATTTTTGTTCAGCCTGCAATGAAACAAAAGTGAGCTTCATATAAAAAGAGTGCAAGATATAATTTGAACACTTGCAGCAATAAATGATTATTGTGTTTTTATTGGACAGATCCAGTTAGAAGAAATTAGAAAATCAGAAACGGAGGTACGCTGGCAGAATGAAGAGGACTATGATGACTGTCATTCTTGTAAACAAGCATTCTCTGTAACCAAAAGAAAGGTAATAACACACAAGCTTTAAATATAAGCAAAAGAAAAATAAGTAGCTAAAAGAATTGTGTGTAACCAAAAGAAAAAAAGTAACTCAGTACAGAAATTCTGTGTAACAAAAAAGATATAATAACCAATTAGCAAATTATTTGTTACGGAAATAAAGGTAACAACCTGTAAGCTTTTTACGTCTCTAAAGGAAAGCCAACTATCCATAAGCACTACCTAAAACCAAAAGATATGTGGCTATCAACAAGCATTCTGAAAAGATTTAACTTATGTTTTATTATATGTAGCAGGACAATTATCTGCTTAGTTGAATGGATTTCTTTGAACTCAACTTCCATAAAAAAAGACTTTTGAAGATAAAAAGTTGCGCAAAATTAAAGATTTATATTATGGAATTAAAAATTTAGGGGATGTTATTTCTTTATACTTATCTTTTCTTTTTTTTCAGCATCACTGCAGACATTGTGGTCGAATATTTTGTTCAGATTGTATAACAAAGACTGTAAATAGCGGACCGAAGATGCGGCCAGCCAAAGTGTGTGACGTCTGCCACACTATACTGGTTGCAGACGCCATGCCGTACTTCAGCACTGAACCACCCCATACTCCAGATTGAGACAGCACTTGAAGCCTCGTTCTGGGGGACCATACAGTTTGAGAAGAAGTTGTTCATGAATATTGAGATAACCTTCACGTCTTTTTTACCCCGTCTCCAATAATGAACTGTTCTGTGTAATAAATTGGACGCATCCATTTTTATTAAAGAAAACCTTCAGTCTTTTTACCCAGTTTCCAATAATGAACTGTTCTGTGTAATAAATTTGGAAAGTTCATTTTTTTTGACATCACATTTTTACAACATTTGTGAATTGAAACGATTAATGTAACAATTATTGATGTTTGGGGAGTGATTGTCAATTGTCCATAAAGTTGTTTAGACTAAGTTACATTTTTTTTTGTAGAAAATACTTTGGCTTTATTTAATTGTAAAGAATGTGTGTTCTTTAAGTTAAATCTCCAGATTTGACCAATCAGGCATTGGGTTATATTAATGAGATGAAAAAAGCATTTCCTTATGAAAAAACAATTTATGGTTCTTCCTTTGTTATAATGGAGTTAAGGTTTTATTTTTGTTGTTATTTTTTAAAAAAAAATTAAATTTTGTTGACTTTGTATTATTAAAGAGGGTTTTGTATATTTTGGCTTCGCTTTTTAACCAATTCTCTAGCTCAAGTCAAAATGGCATTTTTTTTTTCCGTGCAGCATTAGTTTAAATTGTATGATTTCACTCCCTTTAACAAGGTCAAACAAGTGCATGGAAACTGTTTATCATTGCGTATATTTCACTCATTTCCTGTATGCCTCAGTTGTCTCCCTTGGAAGTTTTCTATTTATAGGATAGCAGAAGACAGGATTTGAAAGACAGTGGCATTTTAACTGAACTGTTAAATTAACATTTCTGGGTCTTAGGCTTAGGGATATTCACATTTGGCTGTCAATTTCTTAAGAATAATAGTAAGATGGTTCAATTTATATTATGTCATAGGTTTTTAATTGAGATCCCATTAATAATATTTGATTGTTTACTAAAGCCTGTTCTAATTAATATTCTAACTTTGATAATTTACTAAAGCTAACTTGAAAAGAAAGATTTATATAATAGGCATGCATTGCTGAAGAATGGCCAGCATTTTAATGTACATTTTGACACATAAGGCCAAAGTGACTTTATAATGAACCAGCAATCTTATTTTTGAATTAGAATTGTTAAGTTTTCTGTCTTTAATTATTTTTGGTTCCAATTTTATTTTCTATGAATAATGTCTTTAAGACCCTTGTGTGTTGATTTCAGGCATCTCTGGCTCATGCATTTTCTCATTTAGAAAGCCCAACTTATTTGTATTTCCAGTTAGCAATTAGAGGCCATATTTATTTAGGTTGTAGACATGGACGTGTTCTTCTTCCACATTGATTCATATATTGTTTTTAATAATTATTTATTTGTGTAAGTTTTTACACTTGTGTCATATTTTCTCTCTCAAAAACTCAGTTATACTGCATGCCTGTATATCTGTTAAAACAACATTTAACAATTTGTAAGTGAAATCTTCGGTACTGTGGTCAGAATGTTGGGTGTACAGTGATAGAAATTTCAGTTCGATACCCAATTCCGACATGATTTTATTGAAGGCTGGTGTAACTGTTGAGAGAGCTTGGTATTTTCTGTAGTTTGGTATTGTTACTTCATGTATAAACCTACAGAGGCTGAATACAGCTATCCTAATAAGCTTACAATATTTGGGTTCTTTGTTACAGAGTACTTACCGGTATGTTGAAGAAACCTACTGTAAACTTTGGATATTTTAGCGTGGCCAAAATTTCGCAAAATCAAAATTTTTAAAGTTAAATAATTGAGAATTTCTGCTTTCAGGTCTGTTAGAATTATATGATTCACAGTGAACATATATAGTTTTGCAAAAATCTTCAGTTTGTATAATTAGCTAAATTTATTGCATCATGAAAATTTTTGATTTTACTGAAGGCTTAGTAAGTAATTTATATTACATGTAACCTTTATGATTTTTTAAAGTTTCTAGATGTGACATTGTAAAAATGACATTAATAATTGTGAAATAGCTTATCTGTTAGAAAACATTGTTTTAAATATGGATTTAAAAAAAAAAATCTCCTTAGCTTTCATATATTTTTTGTCATATTAACTGTAGAAATGCATAGAATGATAGAATATTTTAAGATGGAAAGATTAGTAGAACTAGGTAAAAGAATTAGAGTAAATTAGTTTTTTTTGTGTGTGATATCTAGTCATAATTTGAAATAGAAGTGCATAGCAAGTTAAATTATGTTGGCTTATCTGAACAGTATGGTTCTTTATTTATTATGCCCCCACAATGTGGGAGCATATAGCGTTGCACTTGTCCGTCCGTCCGTCAGTCCGTCCGTCCGTCCGTACGTCCCGATATCTTGTGAACGCAACTCCTCTTAAACCGCATGGCAGATTTTGCTTAAACTTACAGGGATGAACAACCTTAATGTGTAGATGGTAGTAAAGGAAGGAATTTTTGCTGCGACCAAATTTAACAGAATTATGGCCCTTTGTTGATTTTTTCACTAGATACTATGTAGAAATTTTGTGAATGCAACTCCTCTTAAACCGCATGGCAGATTTTGCTTAAACTTACAGGGATGAACAACCTTAATGTGTAGATGGTAGTAAAGGAAGGAATTTTTGCTGCGACCAAATTTTACAGAATTATGGCCCTTTGTTGATTTTTTAACTATATACTATGTAGAAATTTTGTGAACGCAACTCCTCTTAAACCGCATGGCAGATTTAGCTTAAACTTACAGGGATGAACAACCTTAAGGTGAAGATGGTAGTAAAGGAAGGAATTTTCGCTGCGACAAAATTTTATAGAATTATTGCCCTTTGTTGATTTTTTCACTATATACTATGTAGAAATTTTGTGAATGCAACTCCTCTTAAACAGGATGGCAGATTTTGCTTAAACTTCCAAGGATGAACAACCTTAATGTGTAGATGGTAGTAAAGGAAGGAATTTTTGCTGCAACAAAATTTTAACAGAATTATGGCCCTTTGTTGATTTTTTCATTATATACTATGTAGAAATTTTGTGAACGCAACTCCTCTTAAACCGGATGGCAGATTTTGCTTTAACTTCCAGGGATTAACAACCTTAATGTGTAGATGGTAGTAAAGGTAGGAATTTTTGCTGCGACCAAATTTAACAGAATTATGGCCCTTTGTTGATTTTTAGTTTTCAACTTGTGGCACATGTAGTCCAAAAAATATTTGACCTAGAGTCATAAGATTGACAGAACAGTGGCGTGTGGGGGCATCCGTGTCCTATGGACACATTTCTAGTTATATATGGATACTGTTGCATGGAATTTTATATGAAAAACTTCAGCATTTATGAATGTTTTCTACATTTCATCTCTGGTACTGCCATGAAAAGAAACTGGAACAAAAAGTTATAAGCCTTTGCCACCATTATAAAGCCAGGTCAGTTTTCACACCTGCCCTTATAAATAGCTCTTGATGAAGACTTAACAGTAATACGTATAATTTAAATACTTAAATTCTTAGTTTGAAACAATACAGAATTGTTTTTCCAACAGAATATAAAAGCTGAAGGCTGTTTTAAATGGACATTTTCTATCTTTCAATCTGGACATAGAGGGCACAAGTGTGCCGGCTGATCTTTGTTTTCATTGGTCGCATAGGTAGAATCTGTTTCCACCAGTAGGCTAAGGCTTCTTCAAATTCAAAAGTTAAGATGGTTTATTTTCGAAAAGCATTTATTAAAGGTACTATTGTTTATACAGTATAATACTGAGTATTATAAAAATTCAATTATAATGCTGGTAGATATATACTGAAGTTTTTAAATATTGATTATGGTTTTGAAAGTAGTGTTTTGTTTTTGAAATTAGTTTTAAATTTATAAATCATGTTTGCAAAAAGGTTGAATTTTACTCATTAGATATGTATAAGTTATTTGCTTTTATACTCTTTTTTTAGATAATGGTTAAATGATATAGTATATATCTATGTAGTAATGATTTGTTAGTGGCTTTTTGTGAATGATAGGATTAAGTTTTGACAAAATCCCCTTAGACTTGAGACTATATACAGAGGGGGATTTTGTTCTTTTTGAAAAACAAATCCACCTTTTAGGGGATTTTTTTTCAAATCTTTCAAAGATGTCTGTCCTCTAGGGAATTTTTTTTAGGATTAGAATAATTATAGTGGTATATTATTTATCAAAATATTTGTGATAATTTTAAGATCTGGTTAATTGTGGTGCATTGTTCAGTTTGTTTGTTGTTGCTTTTTTTTGCAAGTGTAGGAAATGTTTGGTTTTAATAATGTGATAAAAGGAAAATTTTCTTAAATATATTGTATTTCAGTGTTCAATTTCTACAAAAGACATGACTTTGTGTTTTGTAACTTTTTGTAACAAGTTTGTTGGGTTTTAAGTCGTACAGATACTTTAAAGGTCTTATGGCAGTCTACTATACAACTTTACTGATGGAAGAACACATCAGAAGTCCCTCTATGCATTATTTTATACACAAGCACACACCTGAGTAAAAATAATACCAAATCATGTTCAAAAAATGAAAATTTTGTTCTAATTAATAGAAATGTTGTCAGTTATAAAAGTCAAAGTCTAAGGACTTTCTGTGCACAAAAATATTACCTTTACCAGTAATTTAGTAAAATAAGATATGCAGGAATAGCCCTTAACTG